AAAAAGAAGTGGAGCTAGTTGTGTGGCAATATCTGTCCTTCGATGTCCTATAAGAAATTCCCCCCAAAAGGAGGTTTTCATTCCCACCGCCATTCTCGGGGCGCATTATTTTGAATTCCTGTTGCTGGTGTTATTGGGCTGACCAAATCAGTGCAAGCTGACTGAGGGTACTGTGTGTTGCACCTTTCCTTTCCATTACACATCTCTCCATTGTGCTGCAGCTTCCCACTGTGCTTCTTGATCAGAAAAAGCGCCATGGAAGGAAGCATCCCATGATAACTTCCCCTGGGATTTAATGGAAGTGTGGCAAACTGGGGAGGCTGCAGCTGCCAGAAATGGCTGCACAACGAAAAACACAACTCTTGTGTGTGTTTCCCTGCCACCTCGTATGAAAGGTAAGCACAAGAATGCCAGACACAACCTGTGAGAATTTCTCCAAACTTTTCTAGGCTTCTGTCTTTTCAAAAGCAATTTCATTCCTATCAGACGGAATATGTCCAAAAATGTGGACTACTTTTCAGCAAATTGCTAATAATCAAAGGATTTACAGATTCTGTACTGTGCTGTCCATATTTCAAAATGCATTATTAATGCATTACCATTGTTATTTGCTTCACCACTACAAGATCCCAGTGAAGTAAGCACTATTATCTCTTTATATATAGCGAGTGACATAACAGGATTTGTGGAGGTGGAGCGGCATTTTAACTCTGCCCATATGGAACTACAGTGGTACCTCGGCTCACGAATGCTTCAGTTCATGACCAAATCAGGTCGCAAACAAAAAATTCATTAAATTTTTGACTCAGGTTGCAAACCATTGCCATTGGGTGGCAACCATGAATGCAGCCATCTCCCCACCCCGCCGAGTGGGGAGATGGCCACGATCATGCTGGGAATGGGGGGGGGTGGGGAGATGGCCGACATTGCACCTGTCTTTCCTGCAGGAGCGCAACTGCGATCTTGGCCATCTCCCCGCTAGCACGATCGCACCCGTCTCCCCTCCCCCCATGCACTGGGATGACAGGTGCATGCAGGGATGACGGGTGCAATGCTGTGGGATGAGGAGATGGCCGCGCACATGCTCAGGTGGCGGGGAGGGGGGGAGTTGGCCGCGATCTTTGTTGTTCTTTGTCACTTTGCTTCACATTTTTCTGATTAAAAAAATAGTTGCAGAACGGATTAACCTTATTTACATTGAACCTTATGGGGAATGTAACTTGGCTTACGACCAATTTGGATCACAACCAGAGTCCTGGAATGGATTAAGTTCGTGAACCAAGGTACCACTGTATATGTTTTGGCCTGTGTGGTAAACAGCCTTTTTTATAAAGAAAATGGTATGGGAAGAAAACCTTAATCCTGCCTCAGTATAAGTGGGCTTTAATAACCCTTTAAAAAACTCTAACCCTTACCCTGTCATGTCACATCTAGTTGTGACATTACTTTCATTATATATTCCCTAAGCTCCATATTTCACACAATATTTGTATATTGCTTTTCCGGTACGAATAATGTTTCAAAGATATTACACTCAGGGCGTGGGTGTAATGAAAAGCCTAAGGACACAATCCTAGTCAGACAGAAAATGGGCCTTCAGCTCCCATCATGCCACAGTGGCTATAGGACAGCACCTTAAAGAACAGAATACTGATAGAAAGCATCTACCCTAAGACCAGTGCACAGAACCCTCAGATTTGCCTAACCATGGGGCCCATTCTACTTCAGAGAAGGAAACACAAATGTGAAATTAGCCATAGAAGGAGGTTGCAATTTCCTCTTCTTCTGCTGATTTTTTAATGTTCTTCTTTGACGTTTTCCTTATTTTCTGTATTCTCCGCTGCTGCAAAAGCGATGACGGTTCTTCTTCTGTTCAAGCAGCCTCTTCTTAGCTCCTTTTTCATTTTCTCACAAACCTGGCTTTTAGATTTTTCATACTACCATCTTTTTAACTTTTGCTGGCACTGCCATTCCTCCTCCTTCCTCTACAGCAGTTTGTGCTTCATTGGAACCCAAAAGAAAGTAGCGGAGGGAAATTGATTACACACTTCTTCAAGCACCAGTGGGTCATTATAGGTAGCATGATCTAATGTTAAGAACTGGTGTCTGACCTGGGCTTTTTCCTTCTTTCTTCCTTCCCCATTCTTTTTTCCTTTTGTATCATGTCTTTTAGATTGTAATCCTGCAGACAGAGATGCTCTTGTTCCATTCATAGGAAGCCACTCTGTGAGCCATTTCGGCTAAAGAGTGGGCCAGAAATGCTTTAAACAGATTCCCAAAAAGATTGTGGATCTTTGCTTCACTCTTAGGCCAATGTTAGTCTGCCTGGCCATTATTTTTCATTCCACTTACCTCTTTCTCCTCTGGGTGCTTTAAGTTGAAAGCCTCTACACACTTACCGCAAAGTAAATCCCATTTAACTCATTGTGTTCTGAGTAGACAGACATTTATATGATGGAGCAGTTAGGGATGTTCCTACTTCCAGCTCGACACTGGTACTGTCACTAAGCCTTCAGGTCATTGCCTTGAAAACATTTCCAGAGAGGTTGCACTGTTAGTCTGTGGCAGCAAGACCAAACCAGAGTCTTGTGGCCTCTTAAAGACCATGACATGTCTCATGCCACAAGTTTTTGTGAGGCAGAGTCTGTCTCATCTGATGCCTAATACATTTGCTAGATGTTGAGGTGCCACAATCCTCTCCCCTCCCCTTTTCCATTTCAAAAAGCATTTGTTGTCGTGTTTTAATTTGTTGCACAGGACTTATTTTTGCTTTGCTGCAACAGATTAATGGATGCTTGGGTGTAATGTTCATTTTGTTCAAGAAGTAGGCTTGTAGGACTGGGCTGTCGTGCCTGACGGCTCGACAGAGATGTTGACTCGCGAGAAAGAGTCAAACGTTCAAAATGAGAATCAGGCATTGGAACAAGGGGACTTATACTTGGGGCCCAGTGCCCAAAAGGGCCCCCTGCAGCCTGACTCTGGGACTGCTGAGCAAGTAGCCCCCTCACACCCTGACTCTTTGGCTTCTGAGCAAATAGCCTCCCCACAGCCTGACTGTGAGGCTTCTGAACGAGTAGCTTCTCCTCATCCTGCCTCTGAGGTGATTGAACAAGTTGCCCCCCCCCCACCCCCGCATCCTGACTCTGAAGCTGCTGGGCAGAGTTCAGGAGAACAAGAAGACATAACAGTGAATTTGGCAAACGCCCAACTTAGTAGAAGTTTAAGGCGTCTAGATCAATTGCGTCTGGACCAGGACAGACAGGACAGAGGTTTGTCCCACCCACGAGCGGAAAGACGTGACAGGAAAATCTAATCCCACGTGGGCTTCTCAGATACTTCAGAAAGGAGGGGGCAACTGTGTTGCTAGGAGCTCTCCACTAGAGCTTATCTGTTGCATCGTAAATCTTGTAGAAAGTAGCAATAAAAGTCTTTAGTTTTATGGCTGGCTGCTGTGTGAGTTAATTGGAGATGTGAGTTACGACCCATGACATGGGTGCTGCAATTATTTTATTGATTTTTTTTTTACTTTTTAAATAACCTTTAATTGCCCCTACAAGGCACCAGTTTTGGTAGAAACAAACCACCAGGAGTCACCAGGTCAAGTCATCCCCATGCTGTGGCTGAAAACACCTTGATCCGAGGATAAAGGTGGAGTCCTGTTTGGAAGGGCCACAAGCCACACCTGAGGCATGTGAAACCTCAGCAGTAACGGGCAGATCTCATCAAGGGGAGGCCAGGAAATTCTAGGAGGTAATCGGAGGAAGGAAGAGGAAGTGGGGAAGAGAGGAAGACAGAGAGGAAAATCCTTGTACCAAAAGAAGGGAGAATACCCCACTTACAGCCACTCCCACTGGTTTCCTTCAGTGGGAAACCTGGAACTTCCCAACAGGAAGAGACAGAAGGACTCTAGGTTTATCCAAGCCTGGGCTCAACATCTTCCCTGGAAGCACCAAATAAGCCCCAAGTGCAGCTAGGTCTGGGGAGCCACTTCCACAGCAGAAGACAGTCCTTGCTACAGCGAGCTGATGGAGTGCCTCTGGAAGGGCAAGTATTTCAAACAAAGAGTGTTGAACATTTAAAGCCAGACAGAAGGGAAGGGAGGTATAGGTCCTTACCTGAGCAGGAAGTCTGCAAGCTGGCTTGGTTTCAGTGTGGTAACAAGAGGCAAAGCTTCAAAAAGAAAGACTGTCTGCACCTGAATTAAGACCCTTGTGAGTGTCAAGGTGATGGACGAGGATGGATTCAGCCCTTCCTGAGGACAGACATGCAGTAGGCATACTAATCAAATGAAGGGCACAAACGAATGGAGCTGCCTACACTCATCCAAGTCTATGGGTATTCTATGCAGGACAAGATTGTTACCTCTGCACTCTTCCTGCTCTGCAGGTCAGCTCAGCAGCTTTGGACAGAGAGGGAGGGGGACTAGTATGCTGCCAGGATGCATCCTATTGACCCAATCTCCCCCACACATACACCCCCACCCCAGAGCACCTTCTCCGCCCCTTCTCCAAAGTATTGCAACCTTGGAACACATTGTGTGCCACCTACAAGGTGCAGGGAGCAGGCATCCAAGCAAGGGCCCTCACCTCCCAGGCCCAAGCTCTGTTCTGGCCTTCCATCCGAAGAGCTAAACAATCCATGCAGCCCCCTAGATGCTGTTGTGGGTGCATAGGATTCCTTGCAAATCAAATAAGTTATTGGCAGCTGACTTGGAGGCCTGATATCAAGGAGAAAGGTGACATGTGCATATTTTAAATAAATATATAAGAGAAGAGGTTACTTTGCCTCATAGCCAAGGCATGTGGAGAGCTCTCACAGAAGACTTTGTTTTCCCCTTGGAAAGTGCTCAAACTTGAATGTAGAGGGATTCCTCACGTTTTCATTCTGTCACTGAGAATGGGAATTGGGCTTATTCAAAGAAATTAAATTTTAACCATTCTTTCAACAGAGACTTTAGAAGATCAACAATGTAGTTTGAACCGTCACTGTCTCACTTGGTTTCATTGCAAATGGCTGCTATGAAGGCCTTCGTTTTAATCTGCATAGTATATTTCTTCAGTCAAAAGAAGCATGTCTCTGCTGTCCAGAGGTAAGTATTTCTTTTCTAGTGAGAGAGAAGAGAAATAATTACAGAGAATAAAAGCATACTCCCACATGGTTGAAACCAACATGGGGGTTAAGTGAATATGCTTAAAGCTTTTAAAACAGGATATTGGTATAAATATAGATGAATATTTCTTTGTGAAACATGCATCCTTGGATGTTTCTCATTATGGGAAGTATTTGGTGTGGTCAAACTACAAAGCAGTTTGGTTCAACACCAATAAATGGCACGTTGAGATGAACAGCTCTGTCCTACACATATTTACTCAGAAGTGCCCTAGAGTCCAATCACAGTTACTCCCAATTACTTGGCTATAGGACTGCCACCCTAAAACAATTGTTTCCCCTTGTATCCGAAAAAAATGATTGAAACAGAGTACAACATTCTGTGAGAATATTTTTTTTTATTTTTTTATCTTATTGCAATATATCTGGTATAAAAGTATTTTCTAGTTTAGAAGGAAATAAAAATGTATTACTTTGACGCATCCTATGAAATCAAAAGCACATGAGAAAAAATGCAAGAAATGGTCTAGGTCTTCAGCACCTTCTGACTTTCAGGATCAGAATAACATTTTGACATGTCAGTACATGGACTTCAAAAACTAAGATAAAATCAATTATTACATCTCACATAAAACTATCAAAAATCAATAGAAATATATTCAGTAGTATATTTTCACAAATATGATAGGCATAATATGTTGGACAAGTGTGCAGCTTTCTCAAGATTGTATAGTATGCAAATGATACTAGAACACAGAGATTCTTCAACTGCGCTCATTAACCCTATTCATGTTTACCTGGAGGTTAAGTCTCACTCTGTTCAATACAGGATTAATAAGAAGTAGTTATGCACAGAATAGCCTGGCATTCAATGGGTCTTATTGTCTAGGAAGTGTGTTTAAGATTGTAGTCTTAATCTGGTACTTTTGGCCTACTCTTTTTGTGTAGGATTGTGTTTTACAATGGTTGCCCAAGAATGGGGTTGCCATGGTTACTCACTGTGAGCTAGATGGACACAGAACATTACAGAACATTAAAGTCTGGTGTGTGTGCAGAGGGTATGTTGGTATGGTCACACTCCCACACAAAGGTCTATATGCACACATACACACATGTACATTGCCCTCTCAACACCAGTGTTAAAGGGGACCAGGGTTTTGACAGCTACCAAAACTCCTTTCCCCAGCAAAAGGGAATAGGTTCCACTTTTGTACTTTCCTGAACACCCAGAATTGAAGGGAAAAGCACACAATCCCAAGAACTATTGGGGCGGGGAGCGGGGAGGTGCTGATCTTGCAGTAAAGAGCTGTAAATCACATCAGCACCCCCTTTCACGAGCAAAGATCACCCACCGCTGTCAAGAGAAAGCAAGGGGAGGGGGGGTGGATATTTGGAGCCTTTTTGGGCCTTTGTCCAGAGTTGGCCCCCACTTTACTGTAGTAGCAGGTACCTCCAGGATATTCCCTCAACCAAGGCAATTGTTACTTGCACAAGTGTGACTAAATATATTGTTAAAAACCCTAATTACACAGATTGTGAGTGTGCAAAAAGGGGGGGAGGGGTGGCTGCTAGCCATTAACAGCCTCTCCAAGGTGCCACTCAGGCATTTTGAAGCAGCTGTTGGTGGTTGTCCTTGTGGGGACTGCAAAAGCTAGCTGTTAATCCAGCTTTCCTGATCTCAGTTGGATAAAGGTTGTAAAAGGAAAAAAGCTGCAGTGTTTTGTAATTATGGTTGAGAGAATGGAGACAGATTGGTGCTGCCATAGTGTTCCTGGGATTCCTGCAGGGGTACCAAGATGGAAGGAGGAGAAGGAAAGGGGGAACCAGTTACAGTGCAGCCAATTTTCTGTGCATTGTGGATTGTTTGAGTAGCAACCAATCCACCATGGCTTATTGCCAGGATGCGTTGACATGACACGAGAGCACACTCACTATAAACACAAACACTTTTGCCACAAAATAGCATTCTTAAACCCCCTCCCACATTGTAGTTTAAACATGTATGATCACAAAATGTTCATGACTATGCATAAAAACATAGCAAGACTGCACCAAACATCACGAGAATGTATAGAACTTTCAGAATGCTTCACATACATTGCCAGGTGCAATCCTTACACCACCCATGCATTGCGTTAACCCCAATCCCACACAAGTATTGTAAACCCTCATATTAGAGATGGAGCCTGATGTGGGAGCATAGCTTGCTTAAGGCCATCCTGGTGAGTTCATTGCAAAGGTAAGACTCAAAATAGACACTTGCTGCTTTGTAGCTCAAGTCCCCTGTGGACCTATTTCAGATTCAGGTTCTCAGTTCTGAGGGGCAAAATGGTGCTCTGACCTCACATCTGGGAATCTGAGCACTCTATCACGCACACGCTCCCTCGAAGCCTGCACAGAAAAAATAACACTGTTATCCATGATCAGGGAAGCAATTTTGGAGAGGGGGAAAGGGGGACATTCTGGTGGGTGTGCAAAGGGATGGGAGCGACTGGAGAGAACAGGAGGCAGGTATCTAGAAACTGCCCCAGCTTTCTTTCCTCCCCCTCCAAGATGCTCCAGATAGGCCAAAAAGCTTGTCTAATAAAAATGCAGGGTTGGATGAGCAGAGGTTCAAGGGCTTCTGTCCCTCACCATAATAATGTGGCCTTAGCCACTGTATGACACCTGCTGTCTACGCTACCTGTGTGCCAGGTACACAGTGGCCAGAAAGTTGGCAAGAGTTGTCCACTTTGAGAGACAGAATCCAGGGAACTGTTAACAGCTGGGACCAATTCACTTATTACAAGAGATAAATGCATGTTTTTTAAGGATTTGGATTTCTGCACATGACATGATTACTCAGGCCCCAAGTTACCATTCATGGTGAGAATGACAATCTTTTTCATATTTTTATTCCCCATTATAGTAACTTGTTGGAATAAGAAGAATCCAGAAAATGAAATGTGTACATGCCACTGGTTAAAACTTGCCCTGGAAACACATTACTTAAAACTGCTCCTTTCCATGCTGACTAATTCAATCCCATTGAAGCCAATAGAAGTTAATCATCCCAGAAGCTTTAGCTGATTGATGTACCAACTAAAGTGGTCAGAGACTTGGTTTTTAGGGTGTAGATCCTAAAAACAGAACATACCAAAGTGCCATGTGAGTCTGAGCGAGAATTCAGACATTGTGTATTATGTATTATGTATGTATGTATTTGAGTTTTAATTATTTGATTTTTATCCCACCCCATTAGCCATAAGTTTCCCTCATGTACATCTGATAGCCATAACCAGTGTATAGAAACTGGTGGCACTCTAAAAGCTGCTGGTTGGTTCAGAGTTCCCCAAAACTTCCCTGCCACGTCTTTTGAGTTCTTCTCACCCTGGGAGTCTGCTGCCATCCAGTATCATGATCTCTGATGTTTTCTTTTTCTCACTGCTTTCATACTACCAGTCAACCCTGTTTTTCTACTTCTCTCCCAGTGACCAGGTTTTGTGGGCTTTTCCGCAATCAGACAGAGAAGTTGAATTCCTGCAGAATTTGACCACTACTTTTGAGGTAACAGCTTCTGGCAAACCATGAACTTGGCAATTAACCTACACAAGAAAAGAGGGCAATGATTCACAGACAAACATACACACCTAATTTCAATGGCAGCTTTGAAACCCCAAATTTGCTCTGGTTTTAAAGGAGGAAAAATCTACACTGCTGACCCTTTCTCCAGAATATCCCCTTTAAAGTTCAGAGTACGCTCCAGTCCTGTTGACATTGGAGTCACCAGCCACCACTGCCTTATTCACATGATGCTGGCTGTTTCTTGACAGATATGAGAATGGACAATGGAAAGTCATCTCAGCATCCTATTTTCTCCTGCTGGGCTATCTTCAAATGACACATTAAATCAGGAGTCACACAATAATCTTTTCCTTCATGATGTGTGTAGATTCCCACTCCATCCCGTGAAACGGATGCATTTAACAATGATTTGCATGCTTATTCTATTTGTCACTCGTGGCCCTCCCACTTAAACCAGGGAGGCAGAATGTCTTTCAGCCCGACAAATGCTTCATTTCATTTTGGAGATGTTCTCATTCCATAGGTGGAGCTGGGCAAAGGGGGGCTGGACCAAGATGCCAGCATATCATAGCTTCAATGCTGACTAGCTGTGACAAAGCCTTGGGGGACACATTTCAACAGATTATAATGCAGGGGGAACAGCAAGAAGGTCAAGAGACTGGCAAACTATCTGTGGCTGAAGGAAAAGGGGGCAGGGGGAGGGAGCAGAGTTTTGTGGGAACCCCAGAGGGCAGGATTGGAGCTTCAGAAGGGTGGTCCTGTGGGTCTACACCAGTGACCTAGAGAAGTTCCAACAGAAAATTTTCAACATAGCTCTCAGATCAACACAAAAGTCAAAAAAGCCATTATGTTATGCTAGCTGTGAAGTCATGTCTGACCCATCATGACCCCATGGAGAACATTCCTCCAGGCTCTTCTGTCCTCCACCATCCCTCGGAGTCCACCTAAGCTCACACCAACAGCCTTAGTGACTCCATCTAGCCACCTCATCCTCTGCTGTCCCCTTCTTCTTTTGCCGTCAATCATTCCCAGCATTAGGGTCTTCTCCAGGGAGTCCTTCCTTCTCATTAGGTGACCAAAGTATTTGTGTTTCATCTTCAGTATCTGGCCTTCTAAAGAGCAGTCAGGGTTGATCTCTAGGACTGACCGGTTTGATCGCCTTGCAGTCCAAGGGACTCGCAGGAGTCTCCTCCAGCACCACAATTCAGAGGCCTCAATTCTTTGGTGCTCAGCCTTCCTTATGGTCCAATGTTCACAGCAACACATTGCAACTGGGAAAACCACAGCCTTGACTATACAAACTTTTGTTGGCAGGGTGATGTCTCTGCTTTTTAGCATGCTGTCTAGATTTGCCATAGCTTTCCTCCAAAGGAGCAAGCGTCTTTTAATTTCTTGGCTGCAATCACCGTCTGTAGTAATCTTGGAGCCCAGGAAAATAAAACCTGTCACTATTTCCATTTCTTCCCCATCTATTTGCCAGGAAGTGAGAGGACTGGATGCCATGATCTTAGTTTTCTTAATGTTGAGTTTCAAGCCAACTTTTGCACTCTCCTCCTTCACCCTCATCAAGAGGCTCTTTAGTTCCTCTTCACTTTCTGCCATTAAAGTGGTATTATCTGCATATCTGATGTTGTTGATATTTCTCCCAGCAATCTTAATTCCAACTGGTGATTCATCTAGCCCCGACTTTCTCATGATGTGCTCTTTCCCGACATGATGTGCTCTTTCATCTAGCCCCGACTTTCTCATGATGATAGGTTAAATAGGCAGGATGACAGTATACAGCCTTGCTGTACTCCTTTCCCAATTTTGAACCAATCAGTGGTTCCATGTCCAGTTCTCACTGTTGCTTCTTGACCTGCATATGGGTTTCTCAAGAGACAAATAAGATGGTCTGGTACTCCCATCTCTTTAAGAACAATTTGTTATTTTTCACACAATCAAAGGCTTCATTTAGCATAGCCAATGAAGCAGAAAGAGATGTTTTTCTGGAACTCCCTAGCTTTCTCCATGATCCAGCATATGTTGGCAATTTGATCTCCAGTTCCTCTCCCTCTTCGAAACCCTGCCTGTACTTCTGGTAGTCTGAATGTACAACAATGCAAGCAAACTACTGAATGTAATGACTGAATGTACAACAATGCATGCAAACTACTTCCCAAGTACAATTTATTTTAGTGGGAGAGGTTCCGTCCTATATTAAATATACCCACTGAACTCAATGAAACTTCAAAATGTTTAAGTTTGGCTAGAACATCCCTTGTTGTTGTTGTCAGTCGCGAAGTCATGTCCGACCCATCACGACCCCATGGACAACATTCCTCCAGGCCTTCCTGTCCTCCACCATCCCCCAGAGTCCACTTAAGCTCACACCAACTGCTTCAGTGACTCCATCTAGCCACCTCAGTCTCTGCCATCCCCTTCTTCTTTTGCCCAACATTAGGCTTTTCTCCAGGGAGTCCTGCCTTCTCATTAGGTGGCCAAAGTATTTGAGTTTCATCTTCAGTACCTGGCCTTCTAAAGTGCAGTCTGGGTTGATCTCCTCTAGCACTGACCGGTTTGGTCACCTTGTGGTCCAAGGGACTCGCAGGAGTCTCCTCCAGCACCACAATTCAAAGGCTTCAATCCTTTGGTGCTCAGCCCTCCTTATGGTCCAGCTTTCACAGCCATTCATTGCAACTGGGAAAACCATCGCCTTGACTATACGCACTTTAGGTGGCAGGGTGATGTCTCTGCTTTTTAGTATGCTGTCTAGATTTGCCATAGCTTTCCTCCTCAGGAGCAAGCGTCTTTTAATTTCTTGGCTGCAGTCCCTGTCAGCAGTGATCTTGGAGCCCAGGAAAATAAAATCTGTCACTACCTCCATTTCTTCCCCATCTATTTGCCAGGAAGTGAGAGGACTGGATGCCATGATCTTAGTTTTCTTAATGTTGAGTTTCAAGCCAACTTTTGCACTCTCCTCCTTCACCCGCTTCAAGAGGCTCTTTGGTTCCTCTTCACTTTCTACCATGAGATTGGTATCATCTGCATATCTGAGGTTGTTGCTATTTCTCCCAGCAATCTTAATTCCAACTGGTGATTCATCCAGCCCCGCCTTTCTCATGATGTGCTCTGCATATAAGTTAAATTGGCAGGGCAACAGTATACAGCCTTGCCGAACTCCTTTCTCAATTTTGAACCAATCAGTGATTCCATATAAAGCCATAGAAGGTTCCATTTCTTTAGAATCCTTTAGCAGGATAGATGGTGGACAAAGCAAAAAAGGTTGATTGACCATTGCTTTTTTTTGGGGGGGGGGGAGGGTCACAGGGGCATCCTAAAAGCTGATAGAGCCTAATTTGAATATCTGCAGCCTCTGTAAATTCTTCATCATAAGACTATAATGAAACGCAGACTGTATGGTAGAAACATTGGCCAATGCCCCTTATTCCCCATGTTTTGGCTTGGAAAACGAGAATTCAAAAGCTTAACTAGTATTTGGTGATCTCTGAGTTAACCTAATCAGAGGATTACAATTTGATGGATTGTGGACTTTTTCTTTTGCCTGATGTGGCTATCTTTGCTTTGTGTGTCATTTCTTTAAAAATGTATTTTAATTTAATTAAATACTCATTGCTGCCTTATTTCTCAGAAGTACAATTTAGTTTTTAAAAGTTGCAAACCTGCTCTATGAAAATGTAGTTCATTAATCAATACTGTGCACCTAACTGGCTTTTCTGCATGAGGCAGTTCTTGTATGTTGATGCCTACTCACAGCTGTTTACAGGTTCTTCAGACAGCACTGTGATCCTCCAGTTTAGCTTCTATTTTTAAAGAGCTCTTTCCTGGGTATACTGGGGAATATGAGCTATTATAACTGACGGTGAAAGAAAATATATTTTCCTACTCGTGGCTTTGCACTTTTCCTCTATAGCACAACATTATCCAGAGGTTATGTGGCAGAAAAGCAAAAAAGGAAAACATCTTTGCTTGAAACTCATATCTCAATTCTCTGACAGACCTGAAGGTAGAAACAGTGGCTAATAGCTTCATGTAGAAAAGCTCTTGCTGCAGACTTACAGAACCAGTTTCCACTAACCACTGGAGAAGAAGGCAGCATAGCCTCTTTGCTTGTACAGAAAAGTTTTGTTTGTACAGTGCAACCTGAAAATATGCTATAAAAACAGACTTGTTTATGTATTCGTGTAACTATTTACCATTGTCGTTCATTTATTTCAAAATGTTTAAATATGTTTGGAAATGTAATAGATTGTGCTTTGGAAACCTGATTCACCCAGGAACATAATGAAAAACAAAGAGGTACATTTCTACGTCAACATATCGGATATAACTGCTGTGAAAACTGCACTTAACCAATCTGCCATTCAATTCAGGTATGGCTCTTTAGTTCCTGTAATTCATGCATGAAGCTAAAAGCATGTCAAAACATTTTAACAGAGTTTTTAAAATTTATGTTCTTTGTTTTTTGTTTAGAGTTTCACTGGAAGATGTTCAGAAAATTATTGAGATGCAGACTGTAAACAACACAGCCACCCCCCGTAGTTCTGCATCATTTTATGAACAATATCATTCTCTTGATATAGTAAGATACAGCTCTTCTGTTATTCTTTTTGTTGTTTCACTGTGTTCAGAAAGTTCTGTTTCATTTATGCATATCTCCTAAAAAATGAACCCAATTGAATTCGATGGAGCTTTCTTCAAAAGTTCAGGATTGCAGCTTCAGACACTTACCAATAATTTAAAACATGAAATATAACATGTAGCTAGACCTCAAGAATAAGCAAAATGATTGCTAAATACCACTGGCCTCCACCATAGACATCAAAGCAAACAAAATGTGAGCAGCATTTTTGTTAATTTTGGAGCCAGCATTGCTAATGAAGGCAATTTCAAGGATAGGCTGGACGTGCATATGGTGGGCATGTCGTGAGCGGAGCCGGCTGGTGCCGGAGGTCAGACTAGATGGCCCGGGAGGCCCCTTCTGACTCGCTCTGTTTCTGTGTTTCTATGACTGTGTCATCTCTAATGCTCACGTTATGGATTAGGGTGGTTTCCCCCCACTTTGTGTTTGTTGCCCCTTTCATTGAATGTCACCTTTAAAAAAGTTATCTTGCTGGAGTAAAATGTCGAAAATTCAGGGTACATGTTTGCAGCATCTAACATCCCTGCTGGATTGGTAATGATCAGTGTGATCCTACAGATGACTACTCAGAAGTAGGTTATAGGATATGTAGGAAAGAAGCAACAGTCTCTTGATAACTCTTATAGCAACCCTGTAAACAAAAGCTGATACTGGTATTGCCATATTGCAGAGAGCAAGTTATTTTTTTCTCACTATTATTCCATTACCGCACTTCTGTTGGGGTGCATTATCATGAACTGCCCAAATGCTTATTACTTTCAAAAGTATTTAGCACTGCATGACAGTATAGATTTGGATTCCCACAGTTTGATCTGAGGCACAAGATGTAGCCACCTTTGGAATGGAATAAAAGTAGGGTGTGAATATGTGAAATAAAAAATGAAAACAAAAGTACCCCTTTGCTGCAGCTATAAGTATTAACCGGACTGTTTTATTATTATTTCAGATATACTTTTGGATGGATGAAATGGCTTCACAACATTCTGATACCATCCAAAAAATACACATTGGAGTTTCCTATGAAAAACGACCACTTTACATTTTTAAGGTACTATTTGTCCAGAAATCTCACTCTATACTTGATGCCTTATGGAAAACCTACCTGCATAGGATGACTTCCTATGGAAAATTTATCCACATAGGATGACCATTTGGAGAAGGCTTCTTCAACCTGCTGCGCTCCAAATGAGTTGGATTACAAGCTCCACCATCCCCAGTCAGCATGGTCAGTGCCCATGCTCTCTGTGCATTATGGGATTTAAGAGTCCAAACTGTGTAGAGGGCATGTTCCAAGTCTGCTCAGAATCTGATATAAAAGTTTAGGAGAATCTCCAGAGTAGAGGAATGACTTTCCTTCAACACAAGATGCAAGAAGCTGGATCCAGGGGAGAAGTTGGCTCTGGTTTTTCAAGGGAGATGGTATATCCTGCATGTAAAGCATTTCAGGCAGCTACATGCCTAACATTTGAGAACCTTCTCAAGATACATGTGGTGCTGGTAACCCAAGTGGCATTTGAGCACATCACTATCAAAGCTTTCATAATAAGCCTCAAGGTGGGTGTAGAGTCCTCTAAGTCCCACCACTTGGCCCTGTAGTTGGTTGGCTGGTACACAGGCAAGAACATAGGAAGCTGCCTTACTCATATATTGAACCAGATCATTGGTCCCCATAGTCCAGTATTGTCAACACAGATTGGTGGGAACTCTTCAGGGCTTCATGCCGCAATTGTTCCAGCCTTACCTGGCTATGCCAGGGCTCTGCCACATGGAGCTACAATCCTTCCCAGGCAATCAGGTTTTGTACACTTGATTGCAACTGAATTGGCATAGAGTAGGTGAGAAGGCACATGGGTAGATCCACTCTGCAGAGCTGAAGTTGGTTGCACATGGATGTCCTTTGCACCACCATTTGTGTTCATGAGATCTGCATTTCCAGGGGTGAAATTCTCACAGTGAGTTTCATATTTTAAAACATGAGCAAACAACTGCAAGGTTTGGTAAAGGTATTCAACATTGGGTACTTTTATCAGGTTTCATCAAGTAGTGTCCTTTCACCTGCACAAAGGACCTTGCTTGTGGACTGAGAACTGCTTCAGAGGGTTGCGTGACCACAGGATCAGATTAGCAGAGCATGTGGGAGGCTGCAGAAGGGAATGGTTTTATCCCATAAACTGAGTGATGGACTCTTTATATACATTTCGTATCTAAATTTTAATGTAGGTTTCTAGAGGTAGTAGACACCCTTTCCCTACTCAGGTAGCCCATGAAATCAAGCTTGTCTGGATGCTTTCCCCATAATTCGCTGCATGTCCTCCATGAGCTGCATTCTGTCTGTAGTCTGTCTAATGTGTTATCAACATGGCATCAAATCCGATGTAGTCTTGTTTCTGCAGGAGGATGGGAAAGTCTTGGTGGAGAGAAGCACCTTGAGAAGAAGTGGAGCAGAGCTGTAGCTGTACTAGAGTAGCAGGCATAGGGGGTGAACAGACTCTTCAGCTGAAATTTATTTATTTATTTATTTATTTATTTAAAATATTTATATGCCATCCTATTTGCAAAAAAGCCTCAGGATGGCTTACAATATAAAATATAACATAAATAACATAAATAAATTCCTGATCCTACACACACAGTTGCTGTGAATAAGTCCTACTGAGCTCAATGGGGCTTAATTCAGACAATAGTTCAGAACAGTGCATAGGATTACATTATTCATATGTGATAGCCATCTCCTTTAACTGAAAAAGGAATTCAGGGAAAATCAAGTCTACATCATTGTAATGACCTGAAATACATCTGGAAATAAGCCTCAGTGAGATGAGAGATTTATAAGTATGTTAATTATCTGGATGCTATGGTACATCGAGTACAAAGCTGAACAAGGATGTGGTATCTTTAACAAAATATTTTCCCTGCCAAATTAAAAAGCACTCAAAATGCAGATTTTCCCCATTCCTGTAATACATACTTTATTTTGTTTTAACCTGGTAATTATTTCAATCCGTGCTAATTGTTGTGAGACCATAATTAGAGGGTGGTGAATTATCCTGGGCAGTGCTTTTTCTGTAAGAAAAACGGTGCCGGAACTCATGACATTATTTACCTTTCACACATAGTCAATCACTGAACACGAACCCACACACGTCAGTTGTGTAACGATACATAATGGTTGCCACCTGCAGTAAGCACTCAGCGTGCGACCACATGACCAATCACAAGCCGAGCAGCGCCACAAGCCGAGCAGCACCATCACAACCAGTGTGGACAAAGTACGCATGCATCGGATTCGACACACAAGCAGCCCGCATGCACCATTTTAATGATTTTGCCACTGACCTGCTACGCTCAACAGGGCGATTCAAATCCATGTCGACCAAACATCAAATTTTCAAAAGTTACTTTTAAAACTTGGAAAATCTGTTGAAAAAAGGTGCCGGAACTCTGTTCCAGTGTGTTCTATGACAAAAAAAGCACTGATCCTGGATAACATTTGCTGGTACATCTTGAGAACCTTGTACAATTAACTTTTCTGTCTTTTAGCTTTCAAATGATTTGAGAACACCAAAGAATGCCATTTGGATAGATTGTGGTATCCATGCCAGGGAATGGATTTCTCCTGCATTTTGTCTCTGGTTCATAGGTCATGTAAGTGCATGACATATTTTGCTCATATACACATATAGCACCATGTACACATATAGTACATGGAGATGGATTACAGAATTTCATGGGAAGAAAATAGACAGGTCTTTGCTCCCACAGAGCTTACAGTCTCCCAAGGAGTTTATAAAGTAAATGGAGGATTAAAAAACAGAAGGAGAGAAGGTGAGACAAGGACAGAAAGAGAAGTGCCAAGTTCAGTTTCACTTACTTAAAGATTGGTTACAGCTAGGAATGAGGATTAAGAATTTAAACCTAGGATGGGCAACTTGTGGCCCTCCAGATGTTCTGATCTTCAACTCCCATGACATTTTTGGCTATACCAGCTAGGACTGATGGAGATAGCAGGCCAAAACATCTGGAGGACTACAAATTGCTCACTTCTGATTTGAACCAAATATTGACTCTGGGACATCCTATATGCACAGCAGGTATTCTATCCTTCATTTTAGCCAAAGGCCTTGTGGGAAAGCTGGGGCATTTTTGAGGAACAATTTTGGTGAAGAGAGATGGTACCATGTAGGTGCCCAGAAAGGAAGTCCTGGGTATGGAAAGGCAGCAAGGAAGAATAGGGGGATCATGATGCAGATTGAGGTACAAAAGGATAGAAGAGTAACAATGAATTAAAATCTTGATTATCCAGACATTTATTATGAAATTTCTGAGTGTTCCCAAATAGCCAAGATGGACACTGATCCATTGTACCCCTAGTCAGACACATTTTACCAATTATACTGGGAAACCTATGTTCTCTTCCCATTTATCCCACTTCCAGCAACTTTATTGGCGAGCCAAAAAAAAAAAAAATCTCCTCCCTGCATTCAGTTCCCATCTTTTACAGTTCATTTGTCTGTCACATAGAAAAGCTTTCAGTCATCATATGATCTACTCTATTTAAGCTTATACACTGCCAGTCAAAACTGCCAGGCAATTTTAAGTCTTTTTCTTGTCCTTTATCTTTACCAAAAAATAAAAATAAAAAATAAATAGCTAAAAGCAGACAGTATGTGCCAGGGTAGGCAATGCAGTGCCCTCTAGATTTTTTGGACTACAGTTCCCATAAGGCTCGACCACAGGCCATGCTGCATATTAATGGGACTTGTAGTTTAGACCTTCTGAAGGGTACAAGGTTGTCCATTCTAGGTGCATATAAATTGTTTGATGTTCCCCTCAGGCCCACCTGGGCACCCTTGTCAAGTGGTGGATTCTTACTCTGTGAAGCAGCAAGAGTGGAAGAGAGAAAAGAAAATCTTGAATGCCTGTTGGAGACTTTTATTATAGCTGATGCATTCTGGAAAATCACTCAAACTGCTTGAGTTCAAATTGAAATTAATCCATAAAAGATTGGTAAACCTGAAGAAAGGGGGGCAGGCGCACTGAAGTTGCCCATCAGAGGCACCAGGCAGGGGTCGTACAGTCACAATTTCCCTTACTGTGGTTAGATGTACTATATATCTATTAAGTTGGAGTAATTATTTCTAAATTTGCACATCTCTGTAGCAATTGACATGTGCAAGTATGTGTCATGCCTTTCGGTGATATGTTTCCTCTCCTTTGGCAATGCATAAGTGGCTACCCAGCTGAATAAAGGGAAATGTTAGGTACATTTCAAAAGGGGCCCTAAGCAAATGTCCTCTGGCAGTCCCTCTTAGTCATCTGTCATACCTGGCAGTGAGAGTAACGCTCCAAGAAGCACCGGCCATTGGCTCAAGTCATTCCTTTCAATCTGACAACACCACTTATATGCCATCACTCCAGAACATTGTGGAAAAATTGAATGGATGGTGGGTCTTTTCAGCCTGGAGAAGAGGAGACTCTGAGGGGATCTTTTAGCAACTTATAGGTATGTGGGAGGATGTCATGTGGAGGGCTGTGACCTGTTCTTTCCTGAAGGGGAGGGCAGGATGCGTTCCAATGGACAAAGCTCAAGGAACCAGGCTTCAGGTTGGATGTCAGGAAGTACTTCCTGATGGTTAGGACCCCTGGGATATGAAATTTGCTTCTAAGGGAGTTGGTTGAGGCCCCATCAGTGATGTTGTTCAAGGAAAGATTGGACAACCACATGTTGGGGATTACATAAGTGGAGCTGGCTGGAGCTGGAGCTGGGGTCAGACTAGATGGCCTAGGAGGCCCCTTCTGACTTGATTTGTTTCTATGTTTGTAGACTCAGCCCCTCAGCATATCTTGTGTCAGTATCAGGGCTGTTCTGGTGGTTGGACCCAGACCAACCACCATCATATTTGCAGGACTTGTTCCAGGCCCTGTTGGAGCTCTCAGTCTACTGACAAGCACCAGCTGGGAGTCCTGGGGGACAAACTATATAAGAACAAGCTCTTCCCTCCAGAGCTGGCCTCAGCAACACTGGCCCTCCTGGTTCCTGCAGCACACGTTGCCTTGCTGTTGCGCTTACCTCTTGCCTGACCTGTATCCTGCCTTGCTATGTTGCCTCAGCAGTGCAGGTTTGTCTGCTATCTATGGTTCAGTTCATGCATGTTGCTTGACCCTTGCTGCCTTTGGTACCTGTTGTCTCCTGCATCTTCCCATACATCTTGTCTTGCCATGTATTTTGCCTTGCTGTGTGCCCTGCCCAGTCATCCTGCCTCAAGTTCTTGCACCTTGCTTGATGCTTGCTGTGTATCCTGCCTTGCAGTGACTCCTGTCCAAGGTATCTGCACCTCTGTTGTCCTTCTGGTTCTTGACCCTTGGCTTGTTCCTGACCACTTCCTTGTTCTGCCCTCATATGCCTATCTGGGACCTGCCCTCAGTCTGTACCATGACTATTATTTGGACTTGCCATTAAACCTTGACTTTGGATTTGGAGTCTGTCTTGCCTCAAGTTCTGTTGCCCTGCTCCTGGTACCTCTGTCTTATCTCTGACCACCCCTGTTCTGGCCCCAGACACTGTCAGCTTGGACCCCTGGCAAAAAGAATTCTTTTTTTTAATGGAGTCTGAAAGCAAATGTCAGCACTGGGCCTTGCCAGGGTACTGGGGGCTTGGGAACTGTCCAAGGATGCCAGTTGCTAACATCAGCCCTGGGAACAGCATAGAACTAATGTGTGTGGGTTGGGAATAAGCTCCGATTTCCTAATAAACAATCCTACCAGTCCAACCTGTGGAATAATCCACAAATTCATTTCACGCAGAGAGGGTAAATTACTTGAATGGACAGTGCCTAGTGAAATCTTGTTCTTGCTTTCTATGTAGGTAGCTCAGTCCCTACAGAGGAGCAGAGATCCATACATGCTCAGAATTCTACAGAACGTCGATTTCTATGTCATGCCAATAATGAACGTGGATGGTTATGAATACACATGGACTTCGGTAAGTGTAAGTTTGCTAGAAGTAGCACAATGGGACTTGGTCAAGGAACTTGGGAAGCCTGCACATCAGAAGCTACTATGTGATGCCTGGCTCCTTATTTCTACATCCATCTGCTGAAAATTATGATCTCATTCTAACACAGAATTAGAATCAATGGTTATAGGCACAGGGAGTGTGGGGCAGCCAACCAGGACATGGCTACAGCTGCTGCAGCAATTGCTAGGCAGAAGAGGGCAGAGCAAAAGGGAGGCTGGAGCATCTGCTGCAGCCATGGCTGCTGTTGCCACCAAATTCGATGGTGGAAGCATGGAAACCACACACGCACATTGTAACTGGGGTCACACATTATGAAAAGCCATGGTGAAACATGGAAACCTTGTATCAGACCATTGTTTCTCTGGGTGGTTTCACAGAAACCAAACCAGCACCCTTCACCGTGGATGCTGAATCCACTCACACCAACAAGTCATGCCTGCACAGCTTCCAGCATGACTTGTCATTATCTGCGAACACACCACTGTTACTTTCCCCTTACCTAAGCTGGGAAATGCCTGCCTCTGTCTTCACCCTGAAATTGACTGGGAGAAACACTTGCAGGGCATTTCTTACCATGTGAGCACCCATCACTGCTGGTGCCTATTCCTTTGGTTAGAGATCAGTTCTGAGGCCAGTGGGGAAAAGCCCGACTTAACAAAGCCTGGCTGTGACACTCATCTCAGTTTGAGCTTTCTACAAAGTTCTACCCTTTGGCTAGCTCCATCAGTGGATCGGTATAGTGGTCACATAGGAGAATGTTTGGTTCTTCTGCCTGTCGTACTGTATTGGCAGGGAAAGCCCTCCTGTTTATATGCAATAAGGACACTGCCCAGGTGGGAGATTCTTAGAGGCATGAAGCACTGCTCAGAAACGAAGCTGTGAGGTGCCATACAATCTGTGCAGCACACATCCCTAACTAGCCTGCTCAGGTGAGGTGAAAGACGCAGCCTTTTCTCCAGGGCTGAAGATAAGATACAGCTGATAGTCTGGTTGGTTTCTGCACATGGAATGGGGAGAGGCAGTATCTTGCCCTTTGCCTTATTAAGTAAAATGTCTTGGGGCAGCCCTAAGTACTGGGAACTGCGTAGACACCGGCCAGCTGCAGATTCTTTCAGAGCTTTTCCCAAGAGTAGAATGTGCTTATTGCTCCACTCAAATATAGAAAATATCTTTCATCCTTGTTTCACAACCACAGCAAGGGGAAAAGATAGGAAGCCAGTTCTTCCTTTATCATCACAGAATGAATCCCTGTGTCTCTTAACAAATTCAGGAGTATTCTTTTTGATGGAACCTTTTCCAGTCTGTGGTTTTTCTACCTTCTTTTCATCATTGACAGAACAGACAGTAACTTATTTCCTTTTTATCTCTCTCTACTTATCCAATGGGGTTTTCAAGTTATTTACAGTGCAGGAAAGTTGTTGCTTGTGTCAAAAAGCTCTTTCTAAGAAGCATTCTGAGGCTGCAAGCAAAGTTATTATGGTTACAATGTCCAAAGATCCCTCTGCAAACATGACCCCTGATAGATCCACTATCCTGGTATTTTACCCCTCACAGCTAATGGGATAATTTAGTATGGTATGTTCCACTTTGGGAAATTAAATTTAAGAGGTCTAAGCAAAAAGAAATAAAGGCAATCTCAAAGTATGCCTGGAACATGCCTTGGGTTAATACAGACCTGGACCAACATGCCTTCTAGACATACATATTACATCATTTTCCTAATTTGGAAAGCAGGCTTATGTCCTTATTAGTCATCAAGAAAGATTTGGCTTGCCACATAGTCTGATGCACTTGATTGCTGCCATGCATCATCAGAAGGCTTTGCAATACTATCCTCTGCGCAGGGCACAGTGATCTGGACTCTATGTAGGTTTTGTGTAGGGTTGGGCTCTTTGCAGGATCCTATACTAGAATTTTTTTCCAGATGTGCAATTCTATGCTATTCAGACTTAGTAAATTAAGTATGGGTGATATTGGTCTTAAACTCTTTATGAAACATTTGGAGTGATGGGTATCTCAACAGAACCGAATGTGGAGAAAAAGTCGGTCCCGGCATGGCAACAACAAATGCATTGGAACAGATTTAAATAGAAATTTTGATGCAGGCTGGTGTGGTAAGATGAATATTTTAATATTTATTATGCAGGCATGATTTTCAAATGTGTTTTATTATTAAGGCTGTCAAACAATACCCACTTAGCTGAAAATAAAGCCAACTGAACCCCTTGGAATTTGTATAGAGGATTGTTCTGTAAGGGCAGATTTAGACAGAAATAATGTTTGGTTAAGAATGCTGGAAGTCGCAGGAGTTTTTTTTTATTAAACATGCACAAGATTGCACTTGGACTGCAAAGTGGCATGGGAATACCAAAGACTGTAGCTCCAAAGACTGCAGTTGTAAAGATAAGAATGTTTACATTAATGTGAAGAAGCAGGATCTTACCAGGTTGTGAAAGTGAAATGAATGAAATAAATGTTTGTGGGTGTATATTACCAATCCAGGATAGCATAATGAAAAACTCAGATTCCCTTATGATTTCAGCCTGGCAACTTGCACATTCCTTTTACTATGCTAAAAATATGCAGCAAATAGAGAGTCATTCTGAACATTCTTGGTCACAAAGTACATAAATAACTTTGTGACCAAGAGCAATGTAGATGTAATAATGAAGGAAAATTCTGGAGGTCATGGGACTTCCTCACTTCAGCGGATCTTGATGAAAGCTTATGAATACTCTGCCAGCAACAAGAGACAATTCGATTTTGATTATTAGAATACATTTACCACTCCTAAAATAGCTTTATTTTAGGCCTACTGCCACAACAGTACCACCTTCTCTGACCCTTCCAATCTATCAACATCTCCTGGGATTTTCACTGCATTTCTTCTAGTTGGCCCCACATAACTGAAAATGTACATCTAGGGTAGGAGCTGAACTACAGCTCTCTCTAGCAAAAGGATCCATGTCAGATACTCAGTAAAAATTACCACTGAAAGGTAAGCACAAGCATCCAGTGTGGCAAGTGGTTAGAATGTTGGAGTGCGGACCCGAGATCTGGATTCTAGTACCCACTTGGTCATGAAGCTAACTGGGTGAATTTGGGCCAGCCTCTCACTCTCAGTCCACCTCACAGGGCTGTTGTTTTGAGACTGGAATGAACTAGGGGAGAACTATGAAAGCCACTTCAGATTCCTTACAAAAGGAAGAAAGGTGGAATATTAAATGTAATATAATAACATTTTCTACATAGTAAAGTTGATAGCCCTCTGTGTTCACACGCTGTATTTGTCAGATGTGTTCTACCTGACTAGTTCTTGAGTGCATCCATTATGGACCAATTCTCCAGCCAACTGCTGTTAAGTGCTCATTACAGCATTAAGAGGCAACTTGTGGCCCTCTATATGTTTTAATCTCCCATGAACCCTCGCCATTGGCGATGCTGGCTAACTGTAAGCCAAAGCATCTGGAGGACCATGGTTCACCAAACCCTGCATAATAGGCTTCCTGACTGATCAGATAATAGGAAAGCCCCTGTAAAGCAGGATATATGGCAACCCTAGTCTTTTCTGGTTTTTACAATTAGGAGAAAGGAAATAATTCTGAGAAGGAATAAAAATTATATGAATTTGAGGTCCTACCTAGAAGTGCAGAGAGGCACAATCCACTGCAGGATCCCTTTCACTTACTTTCACAAAAAGAATTCAGAGTTAAGCCAAATTTGCCTTTATCTTGCACTGTGTTCATTTACAAGAAACATACATGAAATAGCCATACTACAGGATGAGAAATCAGTTTTTGTCTTTCTATCTATTTTCCAGCCCCCCCCCCACCCCCCAAAAAACCCCAAACACACACATAGAATTAAAGTTCCACAGAGCTGATCAACTATGGTCATATGTTTCAGTACCATACATACATCTAAGAGTAGATTGTAATTCTCCTCAAATGTCTTAATTTGATTTTTAGATGTCTAGTATTACTGCTAAATAAAATGTTGTTTATTTTTGTTGCCTGCTGGCTGCAATAGTGTTAACTGAAAGCAAAATTTTGAATAAGCACTTTTTTCTTTCTTAAATAAAGGCCCAGGTGCATCTACTAATGACTGTGAAGAGACATACTGTGGGCCTTACCCTGAGTCTGAACCAGAAGTAAAAGCTGTGGTGAATTTTCTCAAACGGCATAAGGATCATATTAAGGCATATATAACAATGCACTCTTACTCCCAGATGGTTCTGTTTCCATATTCCTATACTAAAAATAAAACTAAAGATCATGATGAGCTGGTAAGAAACATACTGGTAAAGTTTTCTTAAAACCTTGTTTTGCTTTGGGACTCTATTTTCCCTGAGGAGTGCATAGAAACTACTTTCTTGGTAAAATAAATTAGTGGTATGGGTGGGGATTGTTCAGGCTCTCTTCAGATGTAATAACAGACTGTGGAGTAAAGTTATGAGAACAAGGAGTGATGAGCCTTGGGCTTGCTTCAGGCTCCCTCCCTCCTCTTCTCATTTGCTTTATCATGCAAATGAAAACTGGATCAAACAGTGGGTTTAGATCTTGACCCAAAAGTGAGCTATAGTTAGCATACAGTAGACTTGGCTACATTCAAATAAAAAGCAAAAACAAAAAGCAGAAACTTCTAATGTCTCCTGATTGAAAAAGAAGAGGCCGTGTGCACACTTCTTCCTCACAATCTGTGGCTTGTCATCCCATCAGAATTAAACCACAGCATTTGAATCGATAACAGTTGCATTGTTTTCTACTTTTTGGGGCTTACTGGGGGAACAGATACTCTGATTGCTATGCTACATGTTTGTTATATTTAAAATTCAGAAGCATTTCACAGGTTTAAATGGAGCATAAAATATTTAGGAGAGATAGTAGCTGAAGAATAACTAAATCTCCAAATCACTCAGCATTTGGTACTCTTTCCCAGGTTTATTAATATTAATGGCACATAATCAGCTAAGCTATGCTTCACCTCAGTATAGATATTTGATGCAATCAACATCACATAATTGGACTTCCACTTGCACTTTAGTGTGTTTGGGGTGTGGGAAGAGGAAAAGCATGCCCTTGTCATTTTGCTGATGGAAGCCATTCTTCCATCATGAGAGAATGCACACACTGGATGCGTTCATGGCCTGGAAACACAGAAGGGCTACTGGCCTGCTGTGTGGGGCCCCAGCAGCCTCCCCCACATCCCCACTTTCAGTCATCAGGTGGGTGGGACAAGATCACTTGGAAGGAGGTCTCAACCACATCCATTCCCCCACCCCCACCCCCCACCCTAGGTAAGATGTGCTAATATTAGCTTTTAACCACAAAGGGTTCTGCTGTTACTAATACAGCACTTTGCCTCCTCAAAAGCTAACTTAATGTGGATTGCTTGATATAGGGGTGCTTTAACTTCATCTCTCCCTAAGCCTTCCCTATCTGCTGTTACTAACAGCAGTGGGGAAACTATGGTCTTGATCAAGAGACTGTGTGTAGGGAAGAAGCTTTAAAATCCAACTGCTCTACAACTAATGGAGTCTTGCCCACCCCAATTGAGAATATCACTGTCCTGCTTTCATTAAAGTGGGATAAATTGTATGCACCTTTATATGAAGAATTATATCAGATTAGTGTGGATTATAAAGGTAGCATAGTTAATAGGGAAGCCTGGGATATGATTTCTCAGTCAGAAAGACTGGTGTAATTTTTATATCAAGGCATGAAACACAGTTGACAAAATAGTAGATTGAATTTTTACAAGGTTAGGAGGATTTAGCATTTTAGGAACCACTGAAAAACAAAACATCAGATAAAAGAGTTCTTGTTAGAAAGGAAGAGAGATGATTTAACTTGGTGTCCTGCACTGAGCAGGGTGTTGGACCCAATGGCCCTCTGGTCTCATCTCACTCAATTTTTCTATGATTCTTTGCTCATCAAGCTACAAAGGATTATGTGAGGAACTTGATCTTATACCACTATTACAGAAACAGTTAGATGATAAGGATACTTTACAAATTGATCAGTTCCTTGAGGGTTAGCAGAGAGCATTACTACTAGAATTTACATGCTTAGGCGGCAGGGAGAGATACTTCAGAATGCTTTTGCTCATTTCATGCTCAAACATGTTTAACTTTATAGTCAAGGAGACATAATTTTTGCTATTTTTACAAGTTTTGATCCTTTATCATGCACTTTAAGCCTGGTGATAGTACATAGTATTAAGTTCAGATTTAGAGTCACATTTGTGCCCCTTTTTGCTAAAGCAAAGTGAAGATAATTTGTTTCCTTGCTTAGGTTTCATTCCATCTTCCTTCCTTCCGACATTGATACAGTGGTACCTTGGTTCATGAACTTAATCCGTTCCAGGACTCTGGTCGTGACCCAAATTTTTTGGGAGCCAAGTTAAATTTCCCCATAAGATTCAATGTAAATAAGGTTAATCCGTTTTGTAACCATTTTTTAAATCAGAAAAATGTGAAGCAAAGTGACAACAAAGATCGTGGCCATCTTCCACCCCAAGCACAAATGTGGCCATCTCCCCGCCCCGCCCGCCCGAGATCGCGCCCGTCATCCCGGCACGCTGGGGGGTGGGGGGAGAGACGGGCGTGATCACAGGCACACTGGAGGAGAGATGGGCGCAATCTCGGCCATCTCCCCCCAGCACGATCGCGGCCATCTCCCCACTCAGGGGTGGGGTAGGGAGATGGCTGCAATCGCAGTTCCGTTCGTGCAGGGAAGGCGTGCTTGATCAGAGGCGCACTGCTGCAGGGAAGACAGGCGGAATCTCGGCCATCCCCCCTGCAGTCGTGCTTTGCTGCTCCCATCTTTCCTGCAGCAGTGTGCCTCTGATCATGCACGCCTCCCCTGCATGAAAGCGACTGCGATCATGGCCATTTCCCCACTCGGGAGGACGGGGGGGAGAGATGGCTGCGATCTTGGTCGCCACCCAAAGCAGTTGTTTGCGACCCAAGTCAAAATTTTTCAGAAATTTTTGTTCGTGGCCTGATTTGTTTGTGAACCAAGGCGTTTGTGAGCCGAGGTACCCCTGTATATGCTCAAATAAATGAGGACAGTAATTCTTGTGAGAAGATACATTTCAAACAGTTAAAAAAACCTCACTAAAAAGAGCCAGTAATTGGGGAGTGGGGATGATAGATGTACCATGTGATTCAGACATAATGCTAAGGTAAAGCTAGTCTTTTTGAGCCAGAATTAATATTGTTTGGTCCATCTTCTGCTTTAAGTGTTTTCAAATTATTCACAATAAAGCCTCATAGCTTTAAAATTTTATTGCAACTGTATACAGCTTATATGTACTGCAGACCTATTTCTGCAACTGCATAACTGTGGCTAAAGCTTAAATGCACAATCACTGCTGCCCAGATTTTTTTTTAAAAAGCTAACTAGCATTTCTCTTCTTTTCAGCAAATTCTGGCAAACAACATAGCTAATACTATCAAAGTCACATATCAAAACCGCTATCGGGCAGGAACTGGTGCACATACAATTTGTAAGTATATACCATATTTTTCCTTATATAAGATACCCCCCTGCCCAGTTTTCTTACCGATCTCCGAGTGAGCAAGCTGCTGCCTCGCCGTGCGCGCACCCATGATCATGCCAGTCTCCCCCCACCCCAAGCATGCCTGTGATCGTGCCAGTCTCCTCCTCAGTGCACCTGCGATTGCACCCATCTCCCCCCACCCCCGAGCGTGCCTGCTGCCACCACCTTTCAACTGGCCCTGTGTTGAAAAACTTCGAGGACCCCTGGGCTATACACTCTTCGCAGCATCAGCTGAAGTCAGTTACATAAGCCTCATGATTGGAGGAAACCTGTTAGCTTGTCTCTGCAATCTGAAATTTTGCTCGTGGGGCTAGTTTGTAGAGATAAGGTATCGGCAGTTTTGCAACCACGGTTCTCCTCTTGGCCCCCCATGTATAAGATGCCCCTCCATTTTTAGGTAAATATTTTAAAGAAAAAGCATTGTCTTATACACAGAAAAATATAGTACTTGCTACAGTAAGAGCATGAAATGATCTGTCTGTAGGCAAGATAAAAGTTGCTAAATTGTGTTTGGATAATGAACATTTCTGACCTCTTCCTACAGATTTAGCTCCAGGAGGTTCAGATGACTGGGCTTATGACCTTGGGATAAAGTATTCTTTCACTTTTGAACTTCGGGACAGAGGAAAATATGGATTCTTGCTTCCTCAGCATCTCATTAAACCAACCTGCCATGAAGCACTCACAGGAATCAAAATAATAGCTTCACATGTTATTAAAAATATGTGAAACTCTGTATTCCATTTAGCTTTGCATAGTACTACATCAGTCAACTTGCATGGCTAGCCAAATTCAACTTGCTTGCTATTTTAATTTCAATAAACTTGACTTGTTTTTCTTTACATTTATCTACCTTTTAATGGAAGACCAAGGACAGGGCTGGGTTTATTTTATTATTTTTTGTGTTTCTGTATAAAGAAACCAAAATGCAAATTGTCAGGAAGTTGACAGATTGAGGATATAGAAGAGGTGGCTGGAGAAAGAACCGAGGAAGAGACACCAAGATAACAAATACAAGGAACTGTCTAATTTTTTGGATAGTTTGTTTCCTGTTCCGCACTGAGAAGCTATTTTAAAATGTCCTTAGTCATGAAAGTTAGAACTGCCCAAAAGAGATCAATAAAGGAAAACAAATTATTTCATTGTCATAGGAATTTAGTTCCAGGCCGATCCACATTATAGAAGATTATTCTGGGGTGGAGAAAGGTGTGGTTCTTCATTACAGCCATACTCTTTCAAACATATCTGGCTCTTACTGGACAAGCAAGGACAACTTTAATCAGAGAGGTGTTTGCAGCTACAAAGAAAGCAGCAGGCTTGTTACAAAATCAGTGCATTCATGTGACCACGATAAAAAGGCTCAGAACATACAGCATTGCTAGCTTCTGCCCTATTTAAACGATGGCATAATTAACAATCGATTTCAAGTAAATGTGGCAAGGTCTGTTGGCTATCAGTAGGCCATTTTTCAAATGAGCATACCCACTAAAATCTAAGTTTTTAAAAAAGTGGGATTCAGACTAGCTGCTTCACAGAGGGAACTAGAACAGTGGCTTTCTATTGAAGGAAGGTGGCTGAGGTGGCAATATTCTCAGATTCTCCTTCCTTCCCTCCCCGTCAAGCCCCAGCACGGTGGTGAGCAGAAAACTGGAAGTAATCACTGCCTACCATCCCCTTCCTCTAGCACCAGTACAAATCAACAGAGCACAAATCTGGATCCAGTCATCAAGAAGACTAGACAATATACTGTTATTCAACACTGTATTTTTCATGTAAATATTTTTGGATGAGGTACAGACTATGAGGGACAGCTTAGCACTAAATGTAAAATTCTACTGACAAGCATATTTTACAGAAGAATCCTTATGCACAAGTTTAAAGAGTTGAAAAAATTCAGAATTGTTTTCTTAAAAATTTAATGGCAAGTGATAAAACAGGTCTCCAAAAATGGACATTTTCACACTTTTACATATAAGTGAGCCATTAAATAAGATCTATGGTTAGAATTCAGTGTTATAAAACATTCAGTGAACTAGACAGAATGGCCTTTCAAAAAAAATTTTTTACACTAAACACTTTCCGTATAGTCCTGTCACATAATGTGCCCAATGGCTTCCTTTAGACATTGTATGTCTAAATTCTGGCTTACCATGAACTAGCAAGCATGCTGGTGCATGCATTCCTACCCAGCTCCTCCCACAGAGGGAGCAGCTAAACAAAACAGAACATCTCTGTAGTTCGTGTAGCATTAAGTCCAAACTGAGATGCTGTTCTCCATCACATCAGAATCATATGCAAAGAACAAACACTGGCTTGTAACTCCAGCTTACTAGGTGACTAACATGCCATGGCTCCCAGTTTAGATATAAACACTAAACAAACCAGATATGGAGGTTCCCCACTGGCAGGCGGGGCCACATGGAGTGATCAGGCAGTGTCTGCTAGTGCGCTTGTTTGTTCCTACTTATCCTTTTGTCCAAACTGTCCAAGCTGTAAAGAGTATTTTCATCTTCCAGCAGCATCATACAAAAAGGGAACACAGACAGAAACATCAATGTTTTCAGAGAGGGAAAAGACCAAAAGATGTGGCCTGGGAGATGCTGGCTCAGGATATGCACATTTCTGGAATATATGGTTGTGAAAGTTTAGTGTCCTCTGTCTTGTCTTGTCCAGAACCTTGACGCATTGTCTTGCGTTTAAACAATCGTAGACTCAACCGCAGCAACTCATTGTCCACTACTGGAGGGTTTGTGTAGGTTTGTTTTGTTGTACCCTGTTTGAATGGAGAACGATTTCCAATTAGTCATAGCTGCATGGTTGGTTCAACTGTTGTAATTCTACAAACCTAAGGATGTTACTCAGAACTAGCATTTGCTGCATCTATTGTGAACCCCATACATCACCCAGTTTATTGGAAGCCAGAACACAAAAGGCTCTCATGTGTTTAATAAAAACTCAGTAGTAGTATTCAGAATGGAAAAACTATTTCAGGAAAAGTAATGCAACAGCACACTAATATTAGAAAAGTATTAACAGCACTTTTGGAGATGATAACTTTCACAGGGATTTTAATTTATGATATTATTTCAGGAGAATGGGGGTTCTAAAACAGCCATTAATGTGGGAGACCATCCGGGTAAATCCAGATTTTAAAAGTATCTATGTTAACTTATTAATTTTCTGCTGCTTCTGTCAACTAAAATCATCAAAAATAAATAAATGAGTGAAACCTACTGCAGAGCAAACTTGATTGGATATACGGTTGATGGAATATGTTCTAGCTGTATAATTGGAGGATGCAAAAGAAATCATTCCTAAATCTGTCACTTTAGATTTATAGAGGATTCAAAAGAAAGCTGTCTGTAAGTTGTAATAGTTAGCTTGGATTTAATGAGTGTCAAACACCTGAGCCCATGTTGCAGAAACTTGTTGCATACAACTTGCCTTTTCATTTCTCACAAGCTGCTTACGAATTGCAGAATCTCTTCTAAAGCACAGGGCCTTACAACAAGGACCAAGATTACACAGCAGGCCAGCTCGTTCTTCCTTTCGCAAGAGGGCAGCCATGTTCAGGGCCCCAAACTCATGTTCAAATAGACTTTCTGCATCTACAAAGAGGTAGCATTAATAAAGAAATAAGGTGTGTGCATTAAAAGTTCTTGTACAATGGTAATACATTATTATAAAACACTGGTGATATACACAGCACTTTACAGCATAACAAAAACAATGACTATCTGCCTTCTAAGGTGGTCAGAATTCATTGAGTACAACAAGCTGGATGAATGAAATAAGAGGGGTACCCCTCTTAGTGAGAAAGCAGCAGTTTTTCAAGTAGCATAAAATGAAGGTGGGAGGTAATGACACAAAAGATTAGAGGGAAGTAAGCAAATGCCCATCAATACCACTAGAAATGCAAAGATGGTGGTAAGGATACTGTAAGGAATTTGAAGGCACACAAAAGAAAGAATGACAGACTCTTACAATGCCTTACCTTTATTCAAACACTCAGATATATTCATTCATTCATTCATTCATTCATTCATTCATTCATTCATTCATTCAGATGTATATACCACCCTTCCTATTTTAAAGAGCTCAAAGTGGCTCGTATCATTCTTCTACTCTAAATCTTGTCCCGACAACAACAACCTGTGAGGTAAAGAGTGTGTGATTGGCCCAAAGACACCCAGTTGGCTCCATGGCTGAGTAGACTAGAACCCAGACCGCATGAGACTCAATCCCACACTCTTAACCAACTACATCACAGTGGCTCTCAGTTTAAACAGCAGTGCTCACAGACAACCATTACAGCTTACCTACTATGTTCAAAGGCTAACTGAAGTATAACAAAAGTGGCACTTCAAGCAATGGAATAGGCAGGCTGGCCCCACAACCCATCCACAGGAAGTCTGAAACCTCTATCAATCTGAAACAGTTCAATATTGCTGCAGTGCAATGATATGCCACAAACCAGTTTGGCTTGGATCCAGACACTGCTCCCACTGGTGTCTGGGTTGTTGTTAAAGGAAGTTAGTCAGAGGAAGCTCCTGTCAGAAGAGGGAGGCAGGAATGGGGAAAAGGGAAATCCATGCCTGCTGATTCCACCTTCACTCTGCAAATCCCAAAGAATTTGGGATCCCAAAGATCAATCCAGATCATTGATCTGATACAGCCTCTAACCTGTGGCGCATGCTCAAAAATGAAGCAAAGATCAATATGATACTTAAAAAGTCTTCCAGTTCATGAATGACTTACCTTTCGGTTTCTCCAAGGTTCTCTGGCATGTTTCCTTAATTTTGGTTAAGAGGGGAGGGCCAGCTAGTTGCTTAGAAATGCCAACTCTCAACATAACAGCAGCTGGAGTAAATTTTAGAAGAGCAGCCCCAGGCTCACGTGGCTCTTTTGGCTGTTTTGGCATCAGACTTGACCAGTCCACATCAATTACGTCCACGGGATCTGTAAACACAAAGAAATCTTCAGTCTGCTCAGTGGCAGAGCAGAACCCTACTGGTGGTCTTTCTGTGGTACATGCAATGCTACAGAACAGATATCAACATCATTTAAATAAATCAGAAATGGCGTGTCTTGATGTCCATTTGGACTATTTCTGAATACCCTGTGACTGTACTGGCTATACTTCTAGCACAAGAGGAGACAGGAGGTGAGTAGAGCCTTTTGAGTTGCTTTCTTGATGAGGAGCAAGGAAAGAGTTACCTTCACACTGCTCCCTCCTTGTCCCTCTCCTGATGTGTCTAGCTTGGGTGGAAATAATGTCGGTTCCTTAAAAACCAGTTTCCATGCTGTCCAAACCAAGAAGCTGTGATTTGGAAGCCAATTTTTATTCTGTACTTAAGAGTGGACTGTGGACATTTTTCAGGGGTCTGGGTCCAAAACTGCAGCATCCTCCAATGTGCCTCCCCCTTTCATGACTAGTAGAAGTGGAATTAAGCAAAATAATCAAATCAATGCACTGTTTAGTATGCATAATTTATGCATGCTATAGAGTTTAAATTTTCTTGACACAAGCTGTATAACTTCAGAACAGAAACCTGACTTTCTTTCAGCACACAAGGCCTTGGTAAAATGGGATCTTGTCATGGTTACCTGGCATTTTTTCCTCATCCTGCTGATCTTCCCTCTTTTCGGCATCACCTGCCAAAATTTCATCAAGCTCATCATCACTGATTGGCTCATATTCTCCAGCACCAGATCCCATTGATTGCATATCATCTATTTTGGCTTCATCATCTCCACCTACCATAAGCAAGAAAAGCAGCAAAATATAACTCCACATGCAGGGAATGGACTCCTATCTCCTGGGGAGAGTTGCATCAACAACATGGAGCTTTCCCACTACCACATTCCCTCCTGTGCCCTTTCCCAAAAGGTGTTCCTCAGATTTGGGGGACCCTCTAGAATAATGTAGGACATGGTGAAAGGATGGGAAGGGGGGGCTATAGGAGAAGAAAGAACTGGCAAAATTGAGGGACTGCCCACCTTGCCTGAAAAAGTAGCACCTTTGGAACCAAACCACAGATCCAAATCAGGTGGGCAGCAATGATGTGGACAAATCTTTCAAAAAGAATTGGTTAAGAATTGGACCAGAGACTTTCCACGTTCTTTATTTCATATGCACCATTGCTGTATTTTTAAGGACAAAGGTAGACATAACACAGGGGATGCAATTAGGATCTTCCAGGTTTTGTTTAGCAGCCCAGTGGGGGATGCTTTGAAGACAAGGAAATAATGCTCTAAGACAGTGCTGGCGAACCTTTTAGAGACTGAGTGCCCAAACTGCAACCCAAAAGCCACTTATTTATCACAAAGTGCCAACACTGCAATAAAACCTGAATACTGAGGTTTTAGTTTAGAAAGAACAACTCACAGCTGGGGTGATGCTGGGGCGACTTGGCTCACGTGCCAACAGAGGGCTCTGCGTGCCCGCTGCGGCACACGTGCCATAGGTTCGCCACCACTGCTCTAAGAGATGGCTCTGACTGTTATCTCCTATGTCCTTCCATGATGCAGACCCCCTAATCCAAGCTGCTGATATTGTTCCTGTCTCTCTTGCCAAGGTACTTGACAGCTGTTTGTGGGGGATACATTTTGCACTGGAGGAAGTCATAGAAGAGGAAGACTGAATACACTCCCCTAGAGACTCTCACAACTGTTAGACTTATGCGTAAAATGGGGCCAAAATTAGAATGCTTGCATATATAGAGGAAGAAACATGTATTTCTCCACCAAGGCAACCTGTCAGATGTCTGGTGTTTAAAGGAGCGCAAACATAAACCGTCAGCATTTTCACCTTCTAAATTTTCCACTTTCTCAGCTTCAATTCCATCTTCAAAACCTTGGAAAGATCCTACATCTTTATCCAGCCTTTCCTTTTCTAGGGTAGTAGAATCCAGGCAGATCGCATCAAACTCTTGATGCTCTTTGCCTGGCTTTGATTCACTGTGCTTGGATAACTCTGTCTGAGAGGAAGTACTAAGGCCTCTGTCTCTTTCAGCATTCTCAGCAGGTGGCCTCTCTTTTTCACGGTCCACATCTCTTCGTTTTTCCCTCTGTCTGTCTCGTTCCCGAATTCTATCCCGGTCTCTGCTTCTCAACCAGTCTTTAGCAGTATCTCGGTCCCAATCTCTCTGTCTCCCATCTCGCCTTTCCCGGTCCCGGTCCCGGTCGCGATCATGCTCATGTCTGTCTCTCTCTTGTCCTCTTTCCCTGCTGTCAAAGGACCCAGATCTGGAATGGCCTTGTCGATCTGATTCAGGAGAACTTCGCCTTGAACTGTGGCTTCTAGAATCTTGTCGATCTGAACAAAGTATGAAGAGGGTGCATAATTATGTTGCACATGGAATACGTGATTAAATGTGACAAAACAGGTTGATGTTCCTTAATTTAAAAAAACTTAAGAAAGTTAGAACTTAAGAAAAAGGGATACCAATGAACATAAAATGCTGTGACATAGCTTTGAGATGATAAACTGATGTGTTAGCCCAAGAATGAGCCACACACCTGCATGTTTCCTTCTTGTCCTTCTTTATTCCCCCGCTTGGCTTTGGCACAAATACCTTGGCTTATTAATCTAGCTTCCCATGGCATCTGAACCAATACAGTACCATTTATGAAAAAATTTACAAATCAGGATATGAACTCTGTCCTAGAACATTCCTCCTACAACCAACTAGGTTTCCATGGGAGTTTCCCATCAACCTGGAAATGGTTCTCTGAACGTAGAAAGTTTGGAAACCACTGATCTAGCTGCATACTTCCCCCACCTGGTCAAAGACAGATATTTGTTCCCAGCCAATGAGAGCAGAACATGATAATCTTGTGACAATATTCCCCTGGAATACAGGAAAGCGTTCTAGTTCTTAGGGATTCAAGGAGTTGCAACTAGGATATACTCACTAATGTAGGAAGGGCAGGCATTTCTACCCCAAAGGCCATAAACCTTCCAGGAAAATCAGAGAAAAGCCATATGCAAGTGGTGGCCAGGTCAGAAGAGCACCCCTCTCTTGCCAGCCCCACCAGATCCTACTCATTCACATTCCCATGCATTTCTTCCCCACTCCTCATACTCACTCTCATTCTCTTTCCCATCCTCCTCTCATTCTTTCTTTCTCCACTTTAGCTCTGTCTCTCACCCTGCCCTGCTCTTTTTTTACCCCTACTCGTGATTCACCAATGAAAGTTGTTTTACACCCCTAAGTATGTGCAGGAGGGGCTGGGCCACAGCATGCAGGGAGAGTTAATCCCCCTCAGTTATGATCTCCCCAAACACCACTAAAAGCAACTATTATGTTATTAAAATATTTTAAAAGCTTCCATTAGTATCAATGGAAGCTTTTTAAACAGCCTAACAGGGAACAGGATTGAGAAAGAGATGCCGTGGGCTGGATAGAGAGGCCCTGGGGGTCAGAGATTCCCCATATCTGCTCCAATGATACATTCTCACATTAGGAAATGCATCATTCATTCATTCATTCATTCATTCATTCATTCATTCATTCATTCATTTTTTGATTTATATCCTGGCTTTTTCCTACAAAGGGCTCAAGGCAGCTTACATTATTCTCCTCCTCCATCTTATCCCCACAACAACTTTGTGAGGTAGGTTACGCTGAGAGTCTGTGACTGGCCCAAAGTCACCCAGTTGGCTCCATGGCTGAGTGGGGACTAGAACCCAGATCATCTGAGTCTCAGTCCCATGCTCTTAACCACTACACCACACTGGCTCTATTGTTGTTGTTGTTGTTGATGTTGCTAATATGCCTGATTTGGCTAGTCACCATGGTGGGTTCGGCAATCAAAAGGCACTCTGTCAATGAGAACAGCAAGTATGAAGGGACAAACCTGAGCAGGCCAAAGGCTACGGATTATATTAAAAAAAAAACTGCACAAAAAGCCAACACCTTCCTGCAGGGGAAGCCAAATGCACGCTTGGAGATTCTCAGGAAAAGCCTTGGGTGTTTGTTAGTTTGTTTATTTATCTACAACTTTTATATGCTGTCCTTTATGCATAACATCTCATCACACGCTATGATTTGTGTGTGGAGGTTGGCTTTGTAAGAAGGGGGGAACCTGAGAAAGTCAGGTAAAAGTGGCCAGCATGAGCAAAACAATGAAAGCAGAAATACCTGAAGATGTGCTGCGGCTGGGAACCCCTCGTTTTAACTGGTCAATTCTTGATTTCCGTTCTCCGGTGATTTCTAGACCCCTTCTCTCTCTGTCACTGGAGCTGCTATGTAGGATCTTTTTCAGGCCGGTCTGGTCGTCTCCACTCCGGTGTGCAGAATCATTGGAGGGTGACCTGAGCCTGCTTGAGGCATGGCTTCGATTGCTGCAAAGGCTGCTGCTGCGCTTCTGCTCAACAGATTTGACTGGAGGAGGATCTTCAACAACATGAACGGTTCCCACAGTTTCCACCCTTGTGCGGTGACTATTTCTATGGGGCTCCTCAGAACTCCTTTCCAGAATGGTTTCTCCACGCTCTGGAACGTCTTCATCTGACCAATCGCTAAATGTTGTCTCCTCTCTTTTTGAGACAATTTCTACTAACACTGGTTTCTCAGGCACTGCTTCCACCAGTTCCTCTCTTGTGGTTACAGGTGGCGTTCTTGGGCCTTTTTTCTTTTTCTGGTGTGGCCCACTGTCCTCATCAGAAACCTCAGAATCTCCTTTAGATCTCTTGCGCTTCTTATCAGTGTTTTTCTTTTTCTGAACTTTCTTTGGTGAAAAGACTGAGATCTTATCTAGGACTGGTTCACTGACATACCGCTCTAACCCAATGTCTTCCTCTTTCTTTTTCTTTGTAGCCTTTTTCTGTACTTTGATTTTTTTCTTATCTTCATGGATGTGCTCAACTGCCTCTCGTTCTTCAGAGGTTCGATTACTTACAGTCTCTTGGACCCTGCTCCTTGAACTTTCATTGATCTCTCGCTGCTCTCGCTGTTTGTCCCCAGAAGAAACTCGCTCTTTAAAGTCACTTTCCTCATAATGTCTGGAGCTGTCCTTTCTCTCTGACTTTCGTTCACTTTCTTTCCATCGGCTCTGCTTGTCTTCTGAAAGGTGTGTAGGACTAAGTGAGCGTGATTCCTGAGGTCGGACAACCTGACTCAATAATCTGCGTTTTTCGTCTATGAAAGATGAAAAACATGTCATGATGCTTCATTTCTAAACAAGCTGTCGCATCCATCTATATTACTTAGATTACAGTGAAACAGCCTACATATACCCAATATTTGGGGAGAGAATCCCTTGCCAGCTAACCCCATGAAAATATCCAATACTGCCTGTGGACTAGCAGGAATAACTCTTAGTTCAATGGGAAGCTGGAGCATTGCAGGGCAATCCTGCAAACTAGCCCAAATCACTGTTTCTGGAGCTCTTGGAAGGAAGTTGTACTGATTCATCCCATTTTGAAACAGTTGATCTGGGCTAAATTCTGGAATTGCACTACAAAGCACTATCATTACTGTTGCAATGATGCTCCACAGAATCCATTCCTCTTCAGTTTGTGCACTTCCTCTCATGCTTGGCCCTGTCTCAGAAAATGAGCCAAGCTGAGAGGAAGTCTGCCAATGCTCACAGAACTCCAGCTGCACAACCAGCAACTTTCTTCTGCATCACATGCAGTGCAAATAAAGGGTGCAAATCATGGGCACAGAAGAGGGATGCCATTTGCACAGTGGCCACAAGGGGTCCAAATTCATGGCAAGTGCCAGGTGAATGCTTGGTGCGCTTGCTAGGAAGTTGGACTCATGAGGACAAGAAAGCGGGCTAGAGAACAGGGAGCTGAGCCCAGGGGATCTGATGGATTTCTGTCCCAGATTTCATACACATTCCTAATCAGCATTCATTCTGACTGGCACCACAAACTGCCAGCTTTGAATACTGCTCTGACTCTCCTATACAAACAAACCAGTTTGGATGTTAAATGTGAGGAAAACCCAATTTCCTTCACCCTACAGACATTCTCCTAAAAGGCAAATCAGTTTTACATCATTATGTCAAAATCAGAACTGCTATTCTATGGGTAGAGGAGGAGGAGATGAGAGGGAATTTCTCCCTTAACATCTGAACATGCACACCATGAGGTGCCCAACCTACACAAAAACTGTAATAACAGCACATTATTCAGCCATTTCTAGAAAATAAAACAGGTTATTCTATTATATCTTTAGATAGATCATACATTTAAAAGGCAGCATTCAACATATGTCAAATTACCTTCCACAGTGATTAACTATTAACATATTTATGTTCCTCCTTTGTTGCTTGGCTCACTGGGAGAGTTCTGTAAACTGAACCCTCCTCAATATGGCCTTTTCCTAGTGTGTTTGTATTGAGGGGAGGGAGTTATTGAAAAACATGGGAAATTGTGGAAGTAAATGCATGTCCCGGCAGTTCTGGCTTCTGTAATTTTACAGCCAATCAACAGGGAAGACTTATGAACAGGTTAACCACCAAAGTTAATTTAACTCATATTTCATGTGTTAACTAACTCAGGTTTCATCACTGAGTTAGTTTCCAATTCTTCTGATGGGGGCGGGGGGGGGGGCGGCACAAAAGGAACAGATGATACAGGTAAATACTGTATCTAAGAAATGAATACCCAGCAAGAAAGATAGCCTTGTACAAAAAATCAGACAGCTCGTTCCCAATGAATCCTTTTCTATTTCAGCTTGCAAAAAGGCAGTAATTTATTTTAACATACATGCTACATGGGGACAACACACTTTTTACTTACTTTGATCATCTCCACTGTTGTAAGGATCGCTATCAGGTGAATGCTCACGACGACGTTTTGGTGACTTACGAGGGCTGGGGCTACTTTCATTTCGGTGACGTTTTCTATATTAGACACAAAATGCAGTCAACCATTGGTCCACCTTCGTTCTAAGAAATTTCACACGTCTGCTATAAATACAACTGGAACTACACTGAACTAAACTGAATTGAAATATGACTGTCTCCCACTTCTCTAAAAATTTTTACAAATGATATTTGAACGTCTCATTAATTGATGATCTACATGTCCAGCTATAGATTTTTTGCTCCTTTACTGACTCATGCAGTCCATACATCTAAAATCGCTTAACTAATTATTCCGAATATTTAGTTTATTTTTAACAATGAACTTACTTTGACTTTCTCTCTTCACGGCTATCTCTTGCAGTTCTTTCTTCACGGACATCATCTCTTTTATCTCTGCGTTCTTCTCTTCCTCTCTCTTTGTCATCCCACTCTCTCTGGCGCTCCCTTTCCTTATCCCTTTCCCGCCCCCGCTCTCGCTCACGTTCCCTCTCCCGTTCTCGTTCCCTCTCTCTTTCCCGTTCTCGCTCCCTCTCTCTTTCCCGTTCTCGCTCCCTCTCTCTGTCATGGTCTCTGTCCCGCTCGCGGTCTCTATCCTTGTCCCTCTCTCTCTCACGTTCTCGTTCACGGGCACGATCACGTTCAGCTTCTCTCTCTCTTTCCCGCTCTCTCTCCCGCTCCCTGGGTCTTTCATCTCGTCTGTCTTCACCCCTGTCCACCCTACGTTCTTCTAGTCTTTCATCTCGGTCAAGGTCATCACTTCTTCCTTGGTGCCGTACTGGTGAGCTTGCTCGCTGATCTGTAATGACAAATGGATTTTGCTTCCATGAATTGGAAAGATGAATTCCATTTCCTAGTGCTTGCATTCACCAGTTCTCTTCAACAGCAAACCACGGCAGTGAGTTTCCCAGAATCAATTGTGGCAATTATTACTTGTGGAAGTCAAGTTTATGAAAAGGATGATTTTGTAGTTTTTCCATGATTGTAAGCATCCCAGAACCCACAGAGCTACAGGAGGAGGACTACAGCTCAGCAGTAAAGCGCAGATGCTCCTGGGTTCAACAGATTTCAGGCCCAAGGGGAAGAGTCTTTGCCTGAGACCCTGAGAGGTGCAGTCAGACAGATCACACAACCTTGTGCCAGAAGGGTAAATAGTCTCACCTACAAGGCAGCATCACAGGTATCTAGGTTTCATGGGCTTCATAAGTTGACTTCATGAGATCAATATGATGCTGTCTCTGAATCGTTTCCCTCTCTTGACAGAGGTTCATAGCTCATGGATGTTATTTGAAAAAAACATCAAATTTGGACTTCAAGTTTAACTTGAAGAGGTGACCCAAGCTGATGACTTAGACTGCTGTCAGGATATATCAGAAAATCCTAGCCAAAGGCATGACCCATTTCTTTAAAAAGGCAGGACCATAGTCCATCTCCTTCTTCATGGCATTTCACTCTCTGCCCACATTACTGTCTCTGGGAAACCATGCTGCTCTCCTTTTCCTTTTTTAAAATTACAAATCCTTTCACCTAACACAAGGCTATTAAACATACCCTGCACTGCAGGAAAACATCCAGGAGAGGGGGCAGATGAGCTTGCCCCTGTGGGTCTGTCCTTTCCCTACTGTCCTTCCCCACCCCCAAATTCTTTTGGAAGGAAGAGCTGTGGAAGTGGGCAAAGACCAAGGTAACATAAGGGCCAGTACATACAAGGGATAAGCAACTTCCCAGACAAAGAGCACACCTTTACTTTTCCTGGGGTCCTTTGACTCATGTAGGATGAAAATATGTGCTGTGCATTGGTATTTGTGAAATTTCATTTATGTCAATTTGCACGCCACCGTAATAGCTCACAGTTGTGCTCTATGAGCAGCTTACGATGATTAAACAACATAAAGTTCTACAGTCATTAATACTAAAAACAATCCCAAAATATCAATACAAAACATAACCAAGCAAATTAAGATCATTATGAAAAAACTTCATGGAAACAATTTTAAATACATCATATAAACTAAGATAAAACCATAAGCCTGGGTCAAGTTAAAATCAAAAATACCATTAATTGTTTAAATAGCTGGAGAAATGTCTTCGTCTGGCACCAAAATGATAGTGATGGTATGAGGCAGGCCTCTCTGGAAAACCTGTCCCAGAGATGGGGCACAACTACTGAGAAGCTGCCATTCCCCTCATCGTCCTGGGGGACAGCTCCTTAAGAAGGACCTCCTCAATTGATCACAATGGACAGTGGGAGAAAGTGATCCTTCAGGTACCCAGGGTACAAGCCATTTAGGGTTTTATATATATGAGGCAAGACTGAGGAAGCTGGGTCTCTTCAGCCTGGAGAAGAGGAGACTCAGAGGAGATATGTTGGCGATATACAGATATGTGAGGGGATGTCACATGGAGATGGGTAGAGACCTGTTCTCCCCTGCAGAGGAAGGCAGGACGCGCTCCAACAGAGCAAAGCTCAAGGAGCCAAGGTTCCATTTAGATGCCAGGAAGCACTTCCTGTTAGGACCCCAAGGGTGTGGAATGGGCTTCCACGAGAGGTCGTTGAGGCCCCATCGGTGCGGGTGTTCAAGGATAGGCTGGACATGCACATGGTGGGCATGTCGTGAGCGGAGCCAGCTGGAGCCGGGGGTCAGACTAGATGGCCTGGGAGACCCCTTCTGACTCGCTGTTTCTATGTAAGTGCAAGCACTTTAAACGGGGCCTGGATTTCCAGTGGTAACAAGTATAGATGGTAATAAAACCATAGACAAATAAAACCATATTAAGATGGTGTAATATGAGCCTGGGGACTGGTTCTTGTTAACAGTCACATGACCCTATCTTGAACCAGTTGGGGTGTCTTCAAAGTCAGCCCCATGTAGAGTGAACTGCAATAATCCAACTGGGATGTTACCAGAGAGAACATAAGCGTCATCTGTCAAGATACGGTTGTAGTTGATAAATTAATCCTAGCTGAAGGAAGGTGCTCCTGGCCACCAAGTCCACCTGGGACTCAAGTGAGTGTTTTGGAATCAGGAGCACGTCCAAGCTATGGACTTCATTCTTAAAGAGGTGCATGATCCCATCCAGGACAGGATACTGGCCATTGAACCCATCTGACCAACCACTTGCTTATACCTTTCTAACTCTCAAATCCTTCCTATACCTTGTACTACAGCCCTCTCACTCAACTCTCCTACTAGAATCATACCTCTTCCTTCAACCTACTACCACTCTTGCCTGTCCCTTGTTCCGTTTCCAACTCATACACACCTAGCCCTACCTCCTCCTACCTTCTTCAACCTCCTTCCAAGGACCCTCTAAAGAAAAAAAGGCCCCAAGCTGGCCTTGAACAGGTGCTGAACAGGAAGCACCCTTTGGAGTCTGCCCAGGGGCCGCTGGTTAAGTAGCTGCCTTAACAGCTTGTAGCCCTGCCTGCCTGCATCTGTCTCTGCCCCCACTTCCTGCTTCTCCACAGGAACTGGGCAGGGTGCCCCTCTCACAGAACACTTGGCAATGGCGATTTGGGCCAGCAGGCCACTGTCACTGGTGGAGTGCAGAGGCTGGGGAGATATTCCAGAATGGCAGCAGCAGCAGGGACGTTGCTGGAGCACACAGGGCAGCCAGGTGAAACCAGAGAGCAAAGGAGAGGAGGAGTGTAATGAGGCAGAATGTACACACATTAAGAACCCCTGAGGCAGCAAGACTCTGCAGGGATCATGTCAGATTCCTTCACAGCAGTGTCATCCCTAAACCAACTCTATTTTCCTCTGTAAGATGTACATGCCAAACATTCCTCCTATAGCTATTAAGAATCAAATCTGCTCCCTTCCACGCAGTCACATCCTGGGTCATGGTCCTTTGGTCATGCTAGAGAGGGCTGGATGGAAAGTGGCTTTCATGGCTATATTGGTTATGAGTGTAACCAGCAACTGAGAAAAGATCAATGAGAACCTACCCCTCTCCCGGTTGTCACGCTTGTCTCTTTCTCCATGTCTTCTCTCAAATGAAGAATCCCGTGCATGTTCTCGGTTTTCATAGCGATCCCTGTCGGGATAATTGCTCCGTGATTCCCAGCTGTCATGGTAGCTATTACTAGAGTGGCTGTCAACCTGAGAACCCCTCGTTCCTCTACTACCTAATGAAGATATACATAGAGAAAATAGGGAAAGATTGTTCCAAATCATACTTAAAGATTACAGAATTACTAGAAGACCTGTACAGACTAAAATGATTCTCATTATTTTACCCTTTAGATAGATGCACAAATAGAAGAGCACTTCTATTGTCCCAATATCCAGTACTCAGTTGACCCTGTTCTCATGTAATCCTGTTGAGTTAAAACTGTGTTTCTAAATTAACTTGGTTGCTTGCCTGCAGGATGATAAATCTGTTACAAAAGGTACAATAAATGGAACTAGAAAGGACTAGAAGGTTCCTTGGTCCACTCTGCTTAAAAACATTTTTCTCCTCCTGCCAGGCTCCTACAGACTAGCTCAAAATCCAGAATTCCTGAGTACAGATGGAATGTAGACTGCTGCTGCAACATCGCACTACAAGCTTGCGGAGCCATCAATCCAGCTAAGACTGGACTCTGTGAGTGAGGCAACAACCATCTACAGATTCCTCAGACAGATGGTGAGATTCAGTTAGACAAGGTACTTAAAAGCTTTTCAACTGCAACACTGAAGTATATAATCCAGTACACTTAACAATTCATGGTGATTCAGAAAGATCAAACATTAATTTTCATAGTGAGACATCACTAATTAAAAAGATATGGCTTCTACTTTTCTGCCTCATGGCTCTTTGGAATACCTGCTGATGCACTACACAGAATGGTGACTAAATTTGGTGCAGTTTTGAAAAGAAGAGAGATTCAATTACAGAAAGCAGTTCTACTTTGATAACATTTCTATCACATTGATTTAGGAACAACTGTAACAAATGCAGCATTCCATTTACTGTACCCTTGTCTGATAATTCAGGACCTCTGCCTCTACTTCTTCCTGAAGTTCTGGACTCGTTCCTGGCTTCACTTCTAGAGTCTGTCCTTGCTTCAGCACGAGAACTCTCTTCTCTGCCATGGGTCCGCCCATAGCTGCGTGTTTCCTCCAAATATTGCTCTTCCTTTTTATGGGTGTCACGACACTCTCTGTCTCTGTAGTCATGTGTGTCTCGCGTAGAACGCAGGTCCCTCTGATCACGACTGTCTTTATTATCTCTGCTACAGCCCCTTGTATCCCGTGAGTCCCGCGAGTCCCGAGCGTCCCGAGATTCTCTTATATCCCGGCGCTCTCTGTTATCTCTGGTTTCTCTTCGATCCCGTCCATCCCGAGAATCTCGATCATCTCTGTGATCTCTGGGGGTGCTCTGTTCTTGGTCATAGTCACGATCCTCTCTATCTCTGTCTCTCCCTCTTTTTCCTCTAGTTTCTGAAAGTGAAGTGAATGCATTTCTAGTTAAATATTTAATGATAATTAACAGTACTAAAATAAAAATGAAATACATTAAAACAAAAGGGAAAATGCAATGGGAGGACAATTTTAAAGGAACTTTAGAGCCCATACATTGGTATGAATTTGCTCTCAAATATAATTCTTTACTACATATGAGGCTGGTCTTAAGACATTTATATTCTTGAACTGAAAATCACAACACCACCACCTCCATTTTGGGGGACTGGAACATACTTTGCTTTATATCCCAAACAAAGACTTGGGCTGGAAAACCGTTTTTACCTCTGAATTCTGATTTCCAGGCAATACTTTGTAATCGGGTGAGCCATGAATACTGCAATCAACACAAAGTGCTACAGCAAAAACATCTTGGATATTTTTAAAAATTAAAATTAAATAGACTACAGAGCACATACAATAACTTCTTTTATCCTGTGGCAACAGTGGGTTTGATCCAATGTCACACCACTGGATCTCCCCACATGCTAACTGAAAATCAACTCCAGAGGACTTCCCAGGTCTACAGAGCAGGTCTGAAGGGTGGAAAACCCTCCCCATTCTGTGACTAGTACTGCTTCTACCTGCAAAATTGCAGCCTAATGCACTGCCTGCTCAGAGAAAGCTTTACATTATGGTCTCCAAGATCTCTTCCCAGAGATTGCCAATTTAGACAATATGCTGATCATTTTGAACTAATACTAGCTTCTTTCTGTCCCTCTGCTAACCATTTTGAAGTTCTCCACAGATGTTTAGAAATTCACCATCCTCTATAATTTAGTTCTATTAGTTTCCTATCTTTAACCAGTTACCACTCCATAAATGGGTCTTTCATCCTGCGCCTGCTGAATTTCCTGATAAGCCTTTGGAGACAGAGAGACAGACAGATGTGTGCATGTTTGTTATGCAATGTTCACTGATCAACATGCTTCTTGACATCTGTAACAAATTCTAGAAGGATGGTGGAAAAATAACTTCCTTTTGCAACCGCATGTTGATTCTTCCTCACCAAGCTCTTTTATACTACAAGTTTTAGCAGTGCTTTGCACCCAATTACCTGGGATAAGGAGCCAGCAAGTCCAGCTTAGAGCTTAAGAACTCTTGGGAGAAAGAATGCCTAGTCTCTTGTAACTTTAAAAACCCTGCTTTTGGGCTGCACATGTAAAAACTGCTTATAATCTTATGCATATTCATACCTTCCCTCCTTTCTTGGCGTCGATCATGTGACTGTGAAATCCGCTCTCGATCATGCCGGCTTCTCTCTCTGACGGGTGAACGATGTCGTGAAGGGGTCTGCTTTTGCTGGGGAGAAGGTGAAGCTCTGTGAGCATAAGGAGAAGAGGAACGGCCTACAGGTGGGGAAGCAGTCCTTTTGTAAGAGGGAGAAGGAGTTCGTTTGTGACGTGGTGATGGAGAGCGTCTCTGAATAGAAGATCCCGACTGAGAGGAAGAAGAGTGATGTCTTGAAGAAACAGGAGAATGATGCTGAGTTGGTGGTGAAGCAGACCTGCGAATACAGATATTTTTATATTTTTGTATCATTTTTAACCTTATCAGAGTTTTTCACCTGATGTCATCTTGCTAAGATTGCATGTCTGATACATTTGGATCCTGCAAGGATTTTTTTAAATGTAACAAAGCCATTTTGTGGTATGTAACATCCTTGTAAGACAAGTCTGTGACATTTTCTGACTAAACATGGGTATGTATTTTCCCCTAAGTTTCAGGTTTTTAGATCATGGTGGAATCATAATTTTGGTACCTACAAAATACCAAGTAAGTCAGTCCTCATTATCTTTATACAATAGAGGTTATAAAACTACCATTCTGCAAGCAGAGATTTATGTCCCAAGATCACCTTCTCAAGACGCACTCAGTCCAAATCTGACTGTGAGTGAAAATGCAGGAGAATTCTCCACAGTTTATGATTCCATCCTATAAGTGACCTTTTCAAGCGCTATCCACTATTACAAGTTAAATACTTCCCAGGTTTTGGGATTACTATTATTTCTATGCTACCTAACTGCTGAAGCTCTCACGGTGGGGAGATACAGAACAATCAGTAAAATAACACAGAATACAATAAACAAACGAAATACATGAATACTTGTAATTATATAGGTCATTATTCTACCTGCAAGAAGGTGAAAAAGAATGTTTATGGCTGCTGGACTTTGTTGGAGCCCAAGATGTCTGCCGCCTCCTTGTGCTAGGAGAATATTCTCTTGAAGGAGAAGAATTGCTACCAGAATGTTCTTCTGGACTAGGTGAACGTCTCTGCCTGTGGGAACCTTCTGAGGGATCTCTGAGGAATAAGCAAACAGCAACAGGTATGAAATATCACTAATGGGGATTATGTTTGGAATGCTGATCAGCACATCACAGAATAGTAGAGTTGGAAGGGACCAGAAGGCCCTTGGGTCCAACCCTCTTCACTGAAGGATTCCCAGTTAAAGATAATCATATATTTACTTAGAGATAAACTTGCTGTCTTTTCTTTCTTTCTGCAGTCTTTGTACTAGTGAAAAACTAACATGTTAGTGAAAGCTGCTGAGCTTGCTAGGTACCTTAGGGTGGCAAAAGATAACTTCTTGTCATCTCCTGCACATGTTTGCTTGGTAGAATCCCTCAGGCCTCAATCTGCACACTCTCCTGTACTTTCTTTAACAAGTCTTGGTGGGGGAGACCACTCAAGATTTAGTGTCACCAGTTCACTGACATCCAAGTCAGTGATCAGATCAAGCTCTAGCAGTTTTGATACTCTCTGATGTTGGATCCAATGAGACCATCCCACTGATGGAATGGGTTCTATCAGAAGAACAGGGAGGAGCCAGGCATTTTTCCTCTGGTTTGTAACCCAAGATGGCTTACATAGTTTCATTTTTTCTTTGTTTTTAGCAGGAACAGTACAATGTTTACAAGATACAGATATAATGAACAGGCACTTGTGCACTACCAGGATAAAAGAAAAATAAAGAATCCATTTGCAAACCTGAGAAGCACCAGAAAATAGTAAAATAGTAGTAGTAGTCATCGTCATAACAACAATAGCATTAATTTGATGTTTGTGCACTTTCCAAAGAATGGGAGGGGGGATACATGCATGACATTCCAAGAGCCTTTCCTGTATCCATGGAGGCATGAACATCACTAACAAGGGAGGGGGAAGGTGAACACAACCTGAGCAAGTCCAGGAGAAGTAGTTGGGTTTTCCACCAGGCTTGTCAGACAGCTCTGTACCTGTGCCAAAAAGCCTCCTACAAGTCACACTGCCAGGTCTGCACAACACAACAGGCTGCCCTCAACAGCAAGATCTCAGGGTGGCTTATGCAAACAACACTGAATTGTCTTTGTTGGGTTCAGATGCCTCAGTGAGCCGCACTGCCACAAGCAAGACTTGAAACTCACGGTGGCTTTGCACTGTGAAGTGCAAAGACGCTCACCCTTTGCAGGATCTTATGGAAAAATACATTCAATTCATTTCATGACTTGTCATGCATATATGTTTATTAAAAATGGAAATGGACTGAAAACACAGCAAAATGAAGTGTTCAGTCATCCACAGTTACAGATGAAGCAAAATTAGTCAAACCAAACAACTTTAAACAAAAATTACATGTGCTGCAATTACCTCTGTTTCTCCTTTTTCTCCTTATTATGTCTTTCAAAGTCACGGCCTCTCTCCTTGACCTCTCTTGGCTTCTCTTCTAATCGTTCTTTAACTTTATGTTTTTCTTTATGTTTTTTCCCTTGTGCAGCCTCTTCTTGCACAGGTGGGGGTGGACTAGGTGTGCGAGGACCTTTCTTTTTACTGTGGTTGCTTTTTGAGCTCCTAAAAAACCAGTAAGCAAACAAATATTTAAAAGGTAATTGCAATTTGTGAAGTCAGGAATAGTTGACTCATCCCAGTTGTAATTATAGCCCACTAAGATTTATTTTATAGAAAATGCCTGTCTGCTGCAATAACAATGACTTGGTCTGATTAAAAACCAAACCAAACTACACATACCTGAATGCTGTATAACCTTTGAAACATTTGAAGACCAGCTGTGGAGTAATGGAAGATGCTACTGTCTGTGTTGGATTTCCACTAAAGCCAAGGAATTGTGCTAAAAGGGTGTGCGTGCGTGTGTTTTGCTTTGGTGATGATCTATGCTTGGGCAAATTCTGATTTTTAATAAATCTTAAGGTCAAGATTTTGCTTGCCTTTGAGTCCTGATCGACCAGCAAGGGATAAAAATAATACAGTTGCATATGTCCAAGCTATATAAGGTATCAATCTTGCATCTCATAATGATGGAAGGGAAGAGTCCAGAAGAATACAATCCCAAGCAGCAACATGCAGGAAGTCTCTGCACAACTGGTAACATTAATTCCACTCCAGTTGCCATGATGCGCTTAGTTGCCCAGATCCAATGAATTTGCATTGTTAGATGAGAATTTGCATCTAGATGCCCAGGGGCGACTGTTGCACAGAAAGTAATTCCATGACCTTGCTTGTGACTACAATACAGACATTTCATGTCACACTTTAAAATTACAAAAGTCTGCAAAATTAATATACAACCTAAGCGGTAAAGTTGGGGAGGTGAAGGAAATTGCTTCAAATGAGTTTTGCTTGGTGCACACATCAGTTTAACTATAGGTTTGTATGCTATAGTTTGCAACTCACTGCAGACCATGGCTTTAAATTGTGGTTTGCAGTCTATCTATTCATGGCTGAGTTACCTAGGCTTAATTCTGTGAATAAAGAAAATAAACTACAATTGTGTATTATGCCAGCAGAGGGCTGCACTATTCCTTCCATGTCATTCACAAACTATATCTTACTATTCAAGATAGTAATGGTGCAAAAGTTATGTGAAAGATTCACAAATTTCAAATAATGAACATAAAAAGCACCAATTACATAATTGTTTGGTGAAGGAATTGAGCTTAAAAATGAATAGCAACCATAACCTTAGGTAAATTTTAGATTACAAACCCAATCAAGGCAGAACACAATACTCTATTTGCAAAATATGCCTCTTTACTAACCTCTGTTGGTCCAAGAGGGGTGAAGAAACTGCAGAAGTCTTCTTTTCCCTCTTACTGGTTGAAGAGGAAGATTTGGGGCTTGATCTCAGTTTTGGAGATTTACTGGATTTCCCTGGTGAAGGCGAGGATGATAATTTCGATCCAACCACCTCTGGAGAAATCTTACCAAGAGTAAAACAGACATAATTTTTTTACATTGCAACAAGTTTGCTTTACACTGATACGTGTGCCCCAAAATCATATATGCAAGTATCACTTGAAGCTGAGATCACACTTATTATTCAGAAAGAAGGCATCTATTATCAACCCATTTTCCTTACAAACTAACTTTTTTATTAGATGTACATTCCTATGTTAATACGCACTGCAAATTTTGATAACAAAGGATAGCTGAGACGAATGGGCCACTCAAATGCACATGGTAGGCATGTCATGAGCAGAGCCAGGGGTCAGACTAGATGGCCTGGGAGACCCCTCCTGGCTTGCTCTGTTTTCTATGTTTCTAAATCTCTAGTTGCTGTCTGGACTATTTGGTCCACAATGACAGTGAGGGTAAAGTCAGGGGGATACCTTCATGCATTCAAATATTTCTAAATTTAGTCTAAAATATCAAGATGTTCCATACTGCCGTTCTTTCAAGACGAACAGTAGAAGAAAACCTTACGTCAAACTGTTTGCAAATGCTAATCCAAGGATCATCAGTTTTACTTGCTAGCAGGGACCACCTAATAATTCAGGTTTACAATGGCTTCTCTTACAAACTTGAAAGTTCTCGAGATAAGTGAAAAAGGGTTCTGATCACATCTGACAGCCCATAATCATAACCATAAATTTAATGAGTGTTCATTAATGAGTTTTGCTCTGATCTAGCAAGCTTAAGATTTGAGACAGCTAATCTTAACTGTGAAAACAATAAGGGTGAAATACGGTTCAGGAAACACTATACCAGGAGGTTGGATTTCAAAGCAGGATGGCAGAAGGGTGAAAGATCTTAATGGCTGGAAGAGTGTCTTGACATGGGAGAAGCACCAAGTCTGACCAAAATGATTCAAAAATTATTCAAAGATCTTAATTGAAAGGTAATCTAAAGGCATGGATCTGAACTACTGTGAGCAGAGCTCTGCATGGAACAGTTCTTTCTGCTCCCACCTTCAGCACCTTCTATGCTTCCAGAAAAGCTGCTGCTTCAGAACAGCACAGGATGCAGTACTGGGAGGAGGGGAGAGCAGCAGAAATCAGAGACAGCCACTCTGTTATTTACGGAAGTGCCACTAGTTCACACTAGGGATCTGTGCAATCCTAAGCAATACTGGCAAAGATCAGTCTGAAAGTGAATCCTGCCATGAATCAAACTCTGTGTTCCCAGTGTTGCTTATGACAGACAATTCAGTGATCCTAAACTTCAGTAAAGAGGCTGAAATGACAAGCCCTTTCTAAAGTATATAAAGGACACCAAAAAATCTAGTTACCATTAGATAATGTATTTAAATGTAAGATGCAAATTGCCCCCCCCCCACCCTGCCCAAAAAGGTTAAATGTTAATGGCTGCGTTTCCATGTTTGCTTATGGAGGAAAACGTAAGCCCAAGAGCAGGTAGCATGCAGAGTATGCTACTAATGGCAATAAATATATTACTAGTATCCTGAAGGTCTGTTCATTTATCAGCTATTTTTTACAGGCTAAGTGTTTATTTTCAAAACACAAACCTCCTTTTTAATTACTATTTCTTCTCTTTTCTCCATGTTTTCTTCTTCAAGTTTCATTAACTCTCTCTGGATCTTCTGGCGCTTCATTTCCAAAGAAAGTTCATGATCATAATCATAATTAACATCACCGTTATCAGAATCTTAATTTATAAAAAGAAAAGAGAAAAGAAAAAATTATTAGGGTTCCAACTGATTAATTTAACAAATCAGGAAGCGCATGTGAATTTTAGAACTAAAAATATTCAGTAAATTTACGTTGCAAGTACATTCCTCTTCCTTTATTTCATTTATACCCCACTCCTTCTCCAAGGGCTCAGGAGCAACACAGATTATGCTTCTTGCCAGTCCTGTCCTTGAAACAACTCTGCCTTGGTCTGATACTGGAACCACTACACCATACTAATTTTAACACAAACACATTAGAAACTCAACAGGGAGAAAAGTCACTGAAAGGGGAGGGAAAGAGAGAAAGAAAAAGATTAAGGATTGAGGAAAGGTAGAGAGATGTAGCACCCTTACCACTGCTTCTCTATTCCTAAGTACTTTAGCTGAAGCAGCTTTTTTGCACTAAAAGGAATAATGATCTAGTATTAGACAAGTATGTATATACATGTTTGGCATCTGCAAAACAGATTCTTTTGAACCCTCACTGTTACTCATCTTTCCCATTTCTCTCTCTCCAATCAACAGTGCTTTCCTACCTTCTTTAAGGACACCATAGCTGTGCTCATCTTGTTATTCTTATGCTGTTGTGTTTCCTCTCCAAAAGGCTTCTGTACCAGCATGTTTCTCCATCCCACAAACCTCTTCATACTCTGTATCAGTTCCCTATTTCCTTCTATCAATCTCTTTCTGTGCTGCTTCTGTCTTCCCCCATCTCTACTCCTCCTCTTCTAAGTTCTACAGTAACAGCACACAAGGAGTTTCATTCTTCCAGAAGTTCATACACAAGTGTTATCACAGACACAGGCAATGGAAGCGGATGGCTCCAGAGGTTGCCACCAATTCCCACCTTAGGAAAAGGGCATTTATTCAATGGTACGACATGTGCTCTGCACACATACAGTCTTAGCTTCAATCCCCAGCATCCCCAGTTAAAGCGACCTTGGGAAGCACAGTTGGGAAAGGTCTTTGCCCAAGACAACGGAGTGTTACTGTGCACCAGCAAGGACAATACTGGACTTACAAGCACAATTCTTAGCATGCTTACTCAATTGTTAATCCCTTTGTCCAGTGGAGATTATTCCTTAGAAAGTGTATTTAGGACTGCTTCCCTAGTGGTCTGACTCAGTAGGTCTAGTCAGTATAAATTGTAGCCGCACAGCTACAAACCCAAAGAAAGATGTAATGCAGAAATGGCAGTGCACCTTTCCTCCCTTGCTCAGCCTAAACTTAGATGATCCATAATAGAGATGAAAAAATAAGGGAAATAGCAAGGATTCATATTCCTCAGGAACCTGCAAATGATCTGGTACAGGGCTATTGGGCATCCTTACCATAGGTCTGGGCTGGACAACATGCAGCCCCCTGGAAGGATTTTGGCAACCCCCCAAGCAGTCCTTTGACTCTGTGGTGCAGCTCCCTCTTCAATCATGTCACTGGATACCAAATAATTACACTGGGAAATGAGGCACTTGCTACATCAGTGCCTTTTTTTTTTGAGAAGAATCATGGGTTCTGCAGATGAATAGAGCAAGTAAAGGATGTGCTCCATTTCTCTGCATCATGCTCCAGGATGTTTGATGAACTGCAGGGAGGACAATTTTGCTCAGAATGCAGCCACAGTTCTGGTTATGCTAGGGGTAGGATGTAATCCCCAAAGGGCTCCAGGTAGCCATATGTGCCCCGCCCCCATCCTCTAAAGTTGCCTGTCCCTACCACAGACCATTGGTTTTAAAGGATACTGATTACATATTTATTAGAGAAATTATTTTGCACAAGCAAAGATTATGATTTAATTCTTTGGGGTATTTCACTGCTCATTTCTTCAAGCAACAGTATTATTAATCAGAATCTGAGACACTAAGTGAACACTAAATTTTTGCAAACTAGCAAGTGCATCCAGTCTACCACACAACTAAAATAGAATAAATGCAGAACATATTTAAATTTCAGGATACATTTTGAAACTAAACGGTATAATGGACATTTCTTGGATGCCATTTAAACTATTTCCTTATTTCAGGATTCAAAATATAGAAGCCATGTACCAAAACCAATTTTCCTTCCATGGGTAAGCATATCCAGAATGTACATTCATTTCAGTTCCATTTCTGGACTCTGAATATTCCACCTACCGTCCCTGTTTGTTTCCCAATCAGGGTTTTCTTCTTCACTTTCTGGAGTCCGCTCCTTGGTAATTTTAATATCTTCCTTCCCTCTGTGCCTCCCTCTGGAGGACTCTTTCTACATTAAAAAATAGGTAAAGTTAACTAGCTGCTTTTAAAATAGAAATTAGGAACAGGCAGGTTTAGTTCCATTTGTGTTTGGCTGGGTTCTCGGGAGGAACATTCCTAGATCAGTTCCAAATATTCAAAAAGTACAGAAGTGAAAAGTCATTGAGAAATGTTATCCTTTCAGCCTATAATGTACATCAAGATACTTACCATGAATTTTCAAGGAAGAGAGGAGAGCTTGGTTCAGGTAGAGATCAATGATCCCCAAGGTGGCTAGTACCAGGGGGTTAGTGATTGGTTGTTTTAAATGTACAGTAGCGCAACAGACTGAATACAAAGAAAGAGGCATGGGGGTGCTAGGGTTGTTGCCCAAGAGGAAAAGGGGTGGCAGCCTGAAAAAGTTTGGGGACCGCTGGTTCAGATCCACAGAAGACAGGCAGGCAAAAGTCTCTCTCACTCCCTTCATGCAGAAGGGGAGGACATTTAAAGTTTCTGATCACTGTTTTTAATAAACTAATTTTCCCTTTTGTCCAAAACACAGGAAACCATCTTTATTTATTTATATTAATATTCATATGTCACTAAGTAGTCCAAAAGGCTCTTTAGGCAGTGTCCAGCAACCAAGACCAAAAATAGACAATCTTAAAATTACATAATACAAAAATTGATAAAATTCATCAATTAAAAATCTCAATAACAAAAATAATAATTTAACACTAATCATTATGACTCATGTACAGGTTGAGAGGACAACCATTAATAATCTATTAAACCCTTTAAAATTAATAAAATCATCTTAAAATTAGTTGCTAAAATGGGTGGAGAATGCTTTCACCTGGTGCCAAAACGAGAACAGATATGGCACCAGGAAAGCTTCTCTGGGGTGTCTATTCCATAGGTAGGGAAACACTTACTTTGTAAGACAGGATACAAGCTCCATGCACTTCCTTAGATTCTTTGCTGCTGCATCATTACCTTTGAGTGAGTGAAGTCAGCTAGTAAAATGCATGGGTAAATCAGGAACTATGGTTAAAAAGTCAGAATTGTGAAGCCTATGTCAAACCATGATTTAAAGTTGGCTTCCAAATCCTGGGTTGTTTGGAAATAAGTAACCAACACACCATGTACTCATTTTATGGGAAACTTTGATTAGCAATGGCTTTCTGACTTCTTTGTTCACATAAACAGTGGAGAAAAGCAGCAGCTAAGCTGCAGCATGTGGATGTACGATCAACTGAACCAGAACTGTACTTTGTGCAAACCATGTCTGTTCACAAAGCAAAATACTGAACTATGGTTTGACTGAACTACTATGGATTGAACAAACCACAGCTGAACACAGTTTGTTCAAAGCCATGAATGGAAGCTTTAAATTGCCTCCCTTTCCACACAGAGAGATGAAAGAATATGAGAAGTATGTGAGCTTGTGGTTTGTGCCAGTTCATCTTTGTAAAACCACATGATGGTTAAGCTATTACTGCACTGGCCCTAGATCTTTGTATATAAGAAGCTAATACACTGAAGTATCTAAAATATTTGAAAGCAGAAACTACCAAAAATAGAATTATTAAGTCAGGAATAGCACTTTCATTACTGAGTGGTCTCCTGTGCATGGGGTCCCCATGCCTCTCAGCTTCTGACAATGGCTCTGAAGGCACTCCCCAGAACTTTCTCTCAGGATGAAGATCTAAGACTACAGCACAGTAAGGCTGGCAAGAGCACCCAGGGCAGCTCACATCTATACAGTGGTGCTACCAGTTGTGTACTATTTCTTGTGGAACAGGGATTTCAGAAGACAACCCCACCCTACCACTAGTTGGAAGGAAACAAGTTATTGAACCAGCAGTATGAAGACATGCATTTCCAGTAGAGCTGCCCCAAGGCCAAAGACACTGAGAGGGCTAGTCAGAACAGGGCTTGGGCAGCTGACATGAGAAAGTCTTTAAGTTTCTCCAGACTGTGGTTCTTCCAAGGAGGAAGAGCAGAAGAGACGGCAGTTCAAGTAGGAGTAGAGGAGACAGCAGTCACTAAACAGGGAAGGATGGTAGATAGGAGGAGGGTGGGTTCTTACGCTGAAGGACTTGGAGGCAAGGGAACTCTCACTTCTACCCAGCTAAGCATGCATGAATTGCAGCAGCAGCCTGGAAAAGGATCTCAGGAAGTTAAGAGGATAGCTGTATTCAGATTTAACAACTTTCCATTGTTGTTGTTGTTTTAACAGCATACTCTCCTGCCATTTCACAAACTGGCTTTGGAACTTCCCTTGTTTTTCAGTGGGGTCAAGAGAAGGCTGTAAGGTAGCACAGGGGCTGCAGAGCTATAAAATTTTTCTGAACAAGCTTCCACACAGGTGCAGAGCCCTCATATGTGCTCAAAGTCCATGAAGAACTGGAGAATATCATTACATCACCCACTTTCTCCAACAGGGAGAAACTGCTGGATGTTGGTTCTATCTGCAAACTGAAAGGGCCCCTGCAGTCACAAATGGGCAAGACTGGATCCAACCCACCATGCCCATTGTATTTTACAGGAACATTATCTCCAATCTGATTATACTGAAACAAATCAGATAACCCTTACCCGAACTGGAGAAGATTGCTCTTCTGTATTATGTTTCTGTGGTTCTGTTTCAATATCTTGACGCTTATTCTTCATTCTCTCCCGAAGATCCCCTGTAGGCCTTTCTGGTGACCTGTACAATGTAGACAGAAAATATTGCTGCTTCTACAGAAGTTATTTACTAAAATATTGTTTATAGTTTCACGTCCTGCAATTTTACAGTTCAGATGTGTCCACCAACCTTTCAATATCCTGTTCTTGCCATGTAATACACAAAAATGATGCAGAAAATTCTAAATTGTAGTTGCACCTGCCCAGGTTGAAGGAGTTTTGTCTAACCATTGTAAACATCTTTAAGCATTACAAAAAAATGGCACAGATAATATTAGTTAGCTCTATAAAAGTGACTGTCTATACTGTCAACCCCCCTTCCCTTTAAACCATTGCTTTTTAAAGAAAATAAAAAATGTAGATATTAACCATATTCCCCTCATACTTTCCATTATGGGATGGCTATCCAGTTGTATCAAATATTTGATTCAGCTCAAATAATCATTAAACTCTCTTGAAAAATGTCAACATTTTTAAGCTCTTTACTCTAGTAGTTTCATCTTTTTCTGAAAACAGGCATCTACAGGAATCCCCCAAAATCCTCCCCTTCCTGCCCCTGAAAAGCCTGACCCATGCAACACAAAATACATAAAAGTTTAAAGAAAATCAGAGGTGATCTATTTAAGAAAAATCATTGCACATTAACTGAACCAAACAGATCTAGGGCTGGATCCAGACTGAAATATACTTAAGTGCAGACCCACCGAAATCAATGGAACTTAAGTTAGTCATGATTAACAATTGATGTCAATGGGTCTGCTCTAAGTGTGATGATATTTGGATACCACCCACAGTAGAAGGAAGAAAAGGTGTCCTGATTAAAAACATTCCACTAACAACATGAGGCTTGTATGATTCCTGCTCACTCCCAGCTGATGAGTTTTTCCTAAGACTAGTTTGACCAGCCATTGCTTTCTAAAACCCAAAAGTCTTCCATTTACTTGTGATACTGAATTTGGGAGCTATTAATAGATGGTTTAAGCTCCCTGTAAGAGGCATATAATACATCAATTTGCTTCAACAAGGAGGCATATAAACTTGGCATTCTACAATTTTACCCATTGCATCAAGAATTACTTTCCAAAAATTTCAAGTTATAGGGTACTATCCCTAACACAGAGAAGGCTTTTTTCAACGTTTAGTTTGGTAGTGTGTATGATGCCCAAAGACAAAAAGTAAAAGTTCCACTAGATTAGTGACAGCACTGGTAGCTCTTTGAATCCCAGTCACAGATACTTAATATCCTTATGTGTCTTTTTCTACCTCTTAATAACTCCAGGGTTCAAACTTAAGCCAATATGTGGGTGAACCCCTCTTTGTCCTGAGTTACCTCCCCAAGCCAGCCCTATTTAAGTACATACCCAAACTGAAACAAATATACATAGTTATGCAACCAACTGAAGTAGACAGTACTGGATAAATTATTAACTTACACATATAAGCCACAAGTGCCCACCAACAGCTGCTTGGATTATTCTTGCTCTGCTTCCTTAGCTAACATTTATAATAATTATTATAATGCAAAAGCACGAAGTTTTTTGGGAGGGGATTCATCATACTTCAAAGTAAAACAATTCTTTCTGAACTTCAATATACATAATATATTCACACCATCTAGCCGAAAATGAATTAGGGAGAATTTTCAAGGAGGTTTCCTCCTCCTCTGTCACTGAGAAACTTTCTGCAGATTACACTTTTAGGAGGGTAGTTTAAGTGCATAACTAAAAATGCAAAATGTGTATGTAAAACACGGATAGCATACAGGTACACTTCACAGAATCCAGGGATTGTCTGTTCAGCTATTCCATAGAAAACTCAGGGCTGTAACTACGTGATATACAAAGTATTAGTGCTCATCCTTTAAGAACCTCTTTCTCAACAAAATACCTAGCTAGCTCCACAAACAGACTGCAGAGAAGTGAGTTTCTTGGTTTAAATCATGTATTAGTTACAAATGCACCATGCAGTTATAGCAGGACCAACTCAAGACATTCTGCTGCCTGGAGTGAAAGATGGTATGCTGCATGCCATACACAGAAGCCGACCAGACAGGCAGCTGAATCTACCTCAACACTGATAAAGTGGCATACTCCTCTTGATGGGGACAGGCTAGCTTAGAGCATGACCACACACCCATTCTCTCATCTAGGCCACTGTTCCCCCTCTCCAGCACTTGCAGTTTCAAAAAGCTGCTTCACTCTGCCTAACAGTGGGCTAGCTGTAAATTTAATCTCTCAGCCTTTGGCCTCCAACAAATGTTGCCCTACTTTACTGGAAGCATTTATGAGAGAATACATGTGAAGCACTTTGTGTACTTGGAATATATTAAAGAAAGCCAAGTTATTTTGATATTATTCGCATTTAATTTAGCTTAAAATCCTAAAGAGCTGCTTAACTTAAAATGTGAGAAGGATAAGAACTACATTCAGGAAAAAACTGAAGATGTTCAGAAATCCCAAGAATATTTATGGAAGGCAAGCCCCAACTTCAGCTCACAAAAAGAAATGTGCCTTTCAACCATTAATTAACATGTTTTATTCAATGTCACCATTACACCTAAGGACTCCTTCTATGGCTTAAACAGTGGAAACTTAGCATCCTACAACTCCCAGGATACTGGAAATTACTTTCCTGTCTGAATAGCCATAGGACTGTGCCCTAAATTACAACAAGCGTGTACATAAAAGCCTTGTTATTTTCTCAGTTAAAACTGTTTAACAACTCCTAGTTAGAATATCCGTTATGATGGAGAAATCAATCACTACTTTGTTTAAACAATATTCAAATAATGTCATTTTTCCAGATATTTATAATTTTAGGAGTGTTGGCTGAATTGAGTACCTTGGTTGTGTGCACTGGGAATTATTAAAGAGCCCAGATTTTGCAGTCTCCTATGACAGAATAAGCATGCTTGTATGTTCCAAATAATTAATAACAACCATATACAACTGCCTTAGAGCAGATATGAAGCCTATGATTTGGGATGGGGGATTAAATTGAGAATTCCACAGACACCAATACTGAACCAGTCATGGCTGAATTTGACAACAAATTTTCCAGCCAGCCATACATGTATACAATGTTCACTATGGTGAACTGTCTGCATATACACCTCAGAAGAGTCTTTTGTTATCGCCATTGGTCAAACTGCATTTTATATTTAGAAAATATGTTATTCAAATTTCTATACTTCATCACTCAAAGCCTATTCTGCAATGACATTTACTGTGAGTTCCTGCACAGTAGTCATTCAATTTGTTGTATCTAAAAAGAAAAGGAAATTGGAGCATTACATCAGTGCATGTACTCCTCAGGAAACTCAAATACAGCCCTTCATACACCCTGTTAAAGAATTGTGTGAGAAATCAGTAATCTTAAATATCACATTTATAGACTTGAAACTATGTTGTCAAGTAAGGTTACACAAAGGCTAATGCCACCCAAACTAATAATCTATAACCACCAAATATGGTCTCAACAAAACATGTATTCAGTTTCCAAAATAATATTAGATTTTTAAATGATTTGTTCCAGTTGCTCACACTGGCTTTGATCATGATTCTAAGCAAGAACATTTTATTTTGATTTGAAACAGGATTCCTTGAAAGCTGTAGAATTTCCTTCCAAGTAAATAGGTGCATTTTTGAGGAGTTAGTAAAGCACATATAATTTTTAATAAGCAGGATTACGCCTCAACCGTTTAAAGTGTGAAGGTTGGAAACTTTCTTTAAATACATTGATGGACATGGTTCTCTACTTCAGAGGGGGGAACCTGTGGCTTTCTAGGTGCTGCTGGACTACAACTCCCAATATACCTCATCACAGGCCCTGCTGTCTGGAGCTAATAGGAGTCCACCAATGCCTGGAAGTTGCTTGTGCCTGTGCTACACCTATTTTCCCTTATTTATGTTGGCAAAGAACATAAAATGAAAGAAATGTCAATTCTGTACGTTTTCTCCCAAACTATATGGAAAACAAAAGAAAGAAAATGTGTGGGGGTGGGGGGGAGTGGGAGAGAGACAAAGCAAGAGAGGGTAGGGAAGCATGCAAGTCCTTTCCTGATCTCCTACTGCTACTGAGATCAGCAGCATTGTTCCTCATCGGCAAATGTGTCCTTTCATTTCTGGAGAAGCAAAATAGAAATCCATCTAATTTTGACTCCTCCTACCCCACTATGCAAACTTCTACATGAAATGTATGAACCACAATATGGAAAGGCCATCTTTACAGTGAAATCCTATGCATATCCACTCAGAAGTAAGTCACAGTGAATTGGTATGGGATATATTCTGAGCCTTAATCAATTATTTAAATTTCTTTCCTTGCTAATATAATTTTATTTCAATCAATTACCTGAACAAGTTTGCATTAAAACTCAATTCAGCCTGACCAGAGCAGAGGCTTCAAGGTAGCTGCTGTAGCAAATTCGGACAACTTGAAATAAGATACCTTATTTCTACAATATTTGTTTAAGGTAAAAGTATGCAGTAAGAAACAATCTGCTTTAGTAAATATAATTGCTTTAAGTTCTAAGAGCATGAGCTATCAGGAGGAAACTATAAACTAAAGCTTCTCAGATGATTTGAAACTTTAACAGAAGAATGCCATTTTTCCATCCCCAGAGCTCTTGTGAGAAATCCATCCTCACAACTTGTACAAAACACAGGTGATAGTCAGATTATATTTAAAGGTAGAGTAAATTTTATGTAAATACATATGGTACCCACAAAAATATTGTTTGGATTAATGAAGGAACTGAATAGCTTTCCTTCTTCCACCTCATTTTAGGATGCCACTTGCTCATTCCTTGCCTCCCAGTTTGCATCTTTTTCACCTTCTGTCTTCCTCTTAATGGTTCTGCTATTGCCACACCCCACCCCCAACTTGCTTGCTCCTTTTCTCATCTGCTCATTCCTCCCCCACACCACTGCTTTTTCCCATGTGCACATCCAGCACTCAGCTTCCCCGGGCTGCCTCTGCTCCTTACCTCTGGGGCATCTCATCAACCCCATCTATTCAAATAATCTCTTCAGCTCCCTGCACTTCACTGCCTCTGCTCTTATACCCTGCAGCTTCCCTGTTCCCTCCCTGCAGCTCTTTCCCTCTCACCATCTCTCACTGTTCTTCTCTTCTTCGTGTTCCTCTCTTCTCATTTCAGAATAAAGGCATCTACAGTTCTTTAAGAGCCTCTCTACATTGTAGCTGCATTTACTGTCCCTTTACTTGGTCTTCCTCCCCTTTCTTCCAGATGACAATACATGCACAATCTTCCTATTTTCAAAGGGACCTGCCTCTCTGAATTTTTTAAACTGCATTTAAGTTTGCAAACCTTGGGATTCACTTGAGCTTGTAGGTGCTTCTCTCATGTTCTTTGATGGCCCTATTTGGCTACAAAGTTGCTGCCATGCCCCAAGTTCAGTATTAAAGGTTAAGATACCACTGATATACAATCTGACTGCACTTATGTGCAATCTGAAACTAGTAAGTAAATTTATCTGAAGACGTTTATTATAAGACAATTATTTCCTGATGAGTTGGGCTAGATGGATCAATGACATGATGCAGCATAAGGTAGATTTGTAAGTTCCTAACAACTGTTATTGCATGTCTTCTTGCTGCACATATGCTATACTCAAACGTCAATAAAAGCACATTTATAAAGTAAAAGGAGGGCATAACTTAACTTCAGGTTCAAATATCAGAAATGCAATAATAACCTCACACATCACATCATAGCTAACCTTTGCTTCTTTTAAAGTAAAATACCTGTTTGAGCCATAGCTAGCATTTCCCAGCAGTTTTGACAATTCAACCCTATATCTATCTATCTACCTACTCAGAAGTAAGACCAACTATGTTCAATGGACTTACTCCCAGGTAATTGTGTACAGGATTACAGCCCAGGCCTCTTGAAATGAATCTTGAACTGCACAAAATTCATTCTGAATTGCAAATGAAGTACACACAACTAGATATTCAATTTATTTCAGCTAATGGAAATGCTATGGAAAGACACATAAGACTGTATAGCTCTTTATGAGTTACAAATCAAAATAATGTTATCACTTAAATCAGTATTTTGATTTGTTGTATGACGATCGGGAGACAGTTATGAAAGCACAGTTTTGGCACAAAGATGTGCTACATTGTGAAAGCACAGTAACTCATTTTATTGTCCAGCTAATCACACTGCTAGTAGCAATCTGTGAGGATATGAGCTGAGGTTTTTTAGTATTGATATTAAGTAGCTGCAAGATAAAATATGAGCAAAACAGAAGCTGCCATAACACTATGGAACAATCAATTTATTAAGTTTTCATTTCCCATTTGACATCAGGTAAAATTGTTCAAGCAGAAATTAATATGCAACAAGAACACTTTATTATTCTGAAGTTACACTCAAACGGCAGGGCATAACCAGATTTCCAAATCAATCATGCTCTTAATAAGCCACATCACTGCATTTTAAGCTTTAAAAAACTACAAGAAAACAGCTTTTGCAAACATGTGAATATAAAGCTGAGTTCTTCATTTACCTTCTGTAACTGCTGCTAAAGCCTTTACCTCGTGGTGAAGGGCCATGTACGAATCTACATGTGTTCCCATAGAGGCAGTTGCCAGTCTTCAGCCAGTTACGGCACTGAGTCTAAGAGACAGACATTACCGGGTGAATTTCAAACTAATTTTGGAAGTGCTGCTTGTGTGAAAAGTCACAGAACAAACAATTCTAGATACTATTCCCACCCAAAAGTATTTTAATGAAAATCAATTGTCTTAGATCTGACAATGTTCCTTTGCCAGAAGTCTGGATAACATAACACATTTCAAACTGTTTTTCATGAACTACTCTTTACATCACCAACTAAAAGCCAAGTCTCTTGACACAATCAATGTATGTGCACTAACTCAGATATGAAGTGTGCATGTAAGTGTTTTTGGTGCATGTCCTTCTTTTCCATATGTTTGTTGCATATCCCTTCTTTTCCATGTTTCAAATTTAGAGGAGGAAGTACTGAACAATTCATCTATGCACATCTCATATCCCACAGAATATGGGTGAATTTTGCATAAGAAAAGCAAAACTGGTCCCAAAATGTTATAGTACAAGAGACTAGGGAATTAGAGCTGAAAAAGAATGGAAGGGCATCTGTCATGTTCCAAGGAAGAGGTATTCACACATTAACTCCCAAAGATTAGCCTACATGACAGAGATCAGTCTGTGTCATAGTCCAAGAACAAGAATAAACAAACAAGGTACACTACATCAAGGGTACCTGCAAAAAAGGAATGTCTAGATAACTCCAGCCATTAAGCTAAAACATACAACACTAGGAAAGACAACAAAAAACACTGTCCTACAATGTCAATCTGATTTTGGGGACATTCCTTTTCAATTCCAAATATAACTTAATATTTTCATGAATATGAAGGTTATCTATAGACTCCCCAAAAGAAAGTTCTATCAGATTGTAGGTCAGTTTAGATGTAGCAACAGGGCCACACACTCTCATTACATGGAAACTTTCAGACCACAGTAGTCTACATGTACCAGATTAAGGTAAGAGTACCTTCATAACCTTACAGAACTCCCATAAATTCACTGACACATTTTACTCCCACAGCTGAGAGAAGTGAAAGCTTCTCCCCATCATGTCTGTCTGATGAGAGCAAATGCTACATTAAGAACAAAGAATACTTTTGAACTCACCTCTGCAGTACTTCCAGTGCTGGGTCCAAGTCTCTCAAAAACACTGGGTCTTCTGGATGTGCTATCAGATATGGTCTTGGTATTTTCCACTGTGACCTTCCTTCTAATTTTTGACATTTTGTACTACTTCAACCAAAAAAAAAAGCAACACTGTAAAATTCTCAAGTTGACCTATTGCAACTGAACTCAGAAAAAATAAGTTATGGTATTCATCTTTGGGGGTTTTGCAGAAATTAATTGTAACAAATACAGAATTGTGTTCAAAAGGGATGTTGTTAAATTATTTAATGCTTACAAAAACACCAAGAACAGGGCCCACATTTATGCCCTGTTTTGGCATTCTTATCTGTGCTTGACTATTATCTCAAGTAACACCAAATCTACAATGTACCTAAACCAAAACCTACAACTCTTCTACTTACTCCAGAAAAGTAAGCCTGCTTTTCTGTAGTAGCAACCAAAAGCACTGCTAAGGCATTTTAGACTAATGTGCCTATAAAAAATTATGCCAAATAAATCAGGGTTGCATCCAGTGGTTGGGTAAGTAAAAGGCAGCTCATGGAAGTGGAAGGTAACTCACACAACTTATATTTTTCTTTCCTTCCTTCCCCACTGCAGCTGTTTTTACTCCCTGAAACCCATTTCCAGAAGATGGGAGTGTTCTTCTGAACTCTGACAGCTGTGTTGTTCAGGGCTGCAATGGGTGAGGAGAATTCCCAGTGGAACTCCAATTGACACATAATTCTCTCTACCAGATTTCAGGTGATCCCCCTCCTCCAACAGCATCCCCATAGGAAACATTTTCCAGTGTTCAGTAGCTCTGTTATTGCGGAATACAACCCTTACTCTAATGTTTCAGTATCTTTTCTGAATCTAAAACAAAACCTATACCAGTAATAAAAACCACTGTGCATCAATGTGTTCACTTCTAGATATAAATAAGAATGCTTTTTTAGACTGACTTCTGAGTTATGTGATCTGTTGTCAGCAACATTTCAGGGGATGAAAATAAAGACAGAGGCAGATCCCAGCAAAAATGGCAAATGTGGACATTACTCAACAGCTGAGAGAAACAATACATCTTGAACTCTGTATCCATGAAAATTAGTCCCTTTTCTGGGTGGTACTGCTGCTTTTTGTAATTGCTGAGTGCTTTTTCCATATTCCTATATCATGCCCCCATTAAAAACACTGAATTTTATGCATTTTCTCATCACAGATGCTTTCATTTTTCACTGAACCATCTCACTGCACCTTAGTTTATATGACAGCAGTTTCTATAGAAAAGGCTTTTTTTCCTCAGTAACTGAAATGCTGAAAATGCATACTGGCATACAACCAACTCTTCTCCCTCATCTAAGGGGAATTACAGCAAAGGGAAGAGGATGACAAACACATAAATTTCAAAATAACAGCCCTACAGCTAAAGGGAAGCAGAATCTATGACCTTCCAGATGTAGGCAGACTGCAACCCACAATCATCCCTCACAATTGGTTATAATAACTAGGACTAATAAGAGTTGCCATCCAACCATCCTTGGAGGGCCAAACATTCCCATCCCTATTTCAACTAGATAGCATCACCAATCAAATGAAAAGCTGGTTGATGAAACAATCCCTTTTTCTAGAGAAACTGGGGCTGAACATAACATTTCAGGTACAAGATGGCACTTGTTTACTGACTGGGAAAGGCGCATCTGCTGTAAATGAAATTGTTCTCCTACTCTCGCTTATTTTGAGTTGTTTTATCACATTCACAGCAGCAGTGGATAAACTTTTAACATTACCTACCTTGTTAATTTAGTACAAGGGTAGGCAACCTTTTGAACCCGTGGACTCATCTGGAAATTTGAGGTACTGTCCTGTGCAATATCATAAAATGTCTGTCATGGGTGGACATGGCTGGTCACTAAGAACAAGTAACCTGCTCAAGGAAATTAAGATGGCAGCAGCTAGAGGCTCCCACTGTGCTTTCAAGCAATCCCAGCTGCCAATAAGACTATATAAAAATACTTGAAAATGCGAAGTGGGAGAGGTTGAGTGTCTCAGTGATCACCAAGGAAGGTGTTCTGGGACACAGTGATGCCTGTGAATACCACATGGCTATCTTGATTTAACAGCTATACATTTACATGGCTGGAAAGCACCTAAAGCACCTATAGTTATAGACTTTTGTCCTTATGTGGGATATTCTCCATCAGACTTGTGAACCAAGTTTGGTCACCCTGGGGTCTTAATTCAGTCTACCGGTATTTCCCACATGGCTATGTCCCCTTCCCCAGGCCCCAATCCATTCCCATTAACCACTTAGGGTTTTCCTGACTTTTGTGCCATTTTCCGTTCATTCTAGAGCATCCAATTGCCTCTCCTAAGGCTTAGTTTCTGGCAGTATATTTTGGCCCCAACCCTTATGCCATTGGATACCTTTCTTTTGCTTTTGGCCTCCCCCACAATTGGAATGTGGTTCCCAAGAGCTTCTCTGAAACTGAATTAAACCACCTACTCGACATAGCAAATAATCCCCTTAAGTTAAACAAAAGACAGACAGATGCGTGTACATGCTTAAATAATTGTCTGAAAACTGAAGATTATATCACAGGATGTAATAGAAAAACTTCCCCAAGTTGGTGTCCTCTAGATATGTTGGACCATAACGCCCACTATGCCCAGGAAACATGTCCACTGACCATGTATTGCGGTCCAACACATCTGGAGGGCAGCAGGTAAGGGAAGATCACCATAAAACTGTAGAACCTAAACATTTCTGAAAAACATATAATTTAATCTATCAACAATCAGTGAGAGAATGGTAAAAGTTGAATGAGATGCAGAAAATGCAAAAGGAGATAGTGTTTATGAGTCCTAAAACAAAAGAAAATATACTCGCAGACACTTGAAAAACATTTTAATTATGCCCAAAGCTTTTTGGAAAGACTTTCCTTCCTCAGGAGCCCTTACTTTTCTCCAAATACATTGTAAAAGATTTTTCAGTGACGCATTTGGTCAAAGATGAGCAGGCCCCATGGAAGGGAGCGCTTTCTGAAAGGTGATGGGCATAATAAAAAGTTTTTTTCAGGCGCCTAAGAATTAACTTCTTTTCTATTTTGGGAGTCTTAATGGTAGAGCTAGTATGACTCAAACCTTCAGCTAAATTTGACAAAAATGCTTTGCAGCAGAAAGATCAAAGTGAGGGCTAGGGTTAACTCTTTAATCAGCCTAAAACTGGTGGATTATATCTAGTCTACAAAGTGTTAGGGAAAAAACAGGTTAAAAATCTGAATTGTTGCACACTACTATGAGGACCTGTTCATTAAAAAGCAAAGTACAAACCAACTAAATATAATCATACCACCCCAACTGTACAAAAAGAAATACTGAAGGTGCATATCTGCACTTATTACAAAGCCATAACATCCAGTTTCTGAAGATAAGTTCAACACCAATATCTGAATATTTTATAAAAAGAACCAGTAGATAACTCAGGCATAGTCTGAGCAGTATTTTTGACATTTTTTATGTTGCTTTAAGCAGAGCTAAAATAAAAGCTGCATGCAGTATGACGCCTGTGCAAATGAAATCCCACATCCCTTCTCCATGCAGCCCCCTCTATGTCCCCACAACACTCACCTCAAAATCAGTAGATTTTCCTGAGAGTTTCCTGAACCTCAGGTGAGACTTTTTTGCATGCACAGGGGTTGAAGTGAGGGGTTGGAAGAAAATTCCCCTTAACTGAGGTTTAGACAAGCCATACATTATTGCTTAACCCTCAAATAACCCACAATGTCGACAGCACAATACAACAAGCTGGGCATCCCTCTGTTGTAGAACAGCTCATTCAAATTGGTGGCTAAAGCACTTCTTTGAGCCCTGTGGGTGATTTAACCTGCAATGGCTTATCACTATGTACAAACTGACCCCATTAGTCACCCTGGATCTCTACTGCTTTGGTTTATCTCAGATGTGAGCCCAGCTGGGAGAAAAACTCCTGGGGAGAGTCATGAAGAGGCTTTAGTGCCCTCCACTTGTACCCTCACTGGCCTGTTTACATCAGACATTCTCTTCCTTTGTGAACAGGGCAAACAAATCAATTTAATGGTCCTTAAAAGGCAGCACAGTGAGGCCTGCACTCCTCCCTCCCCCAGTCTGATTGGGAAAACAGAAGCCCAGGCATGTGGAATCAAACTAGAATGCTTCTTTCTCCCTAGCTGAAAGACAGCAATCTGTAATTGTGAAGAAAGATAGCTAGCTGGGTAGTAGGAGACATGCAATCCCCAAAACAGAGAAGGTGGCTTGTGAAAACCCCATGAATAATTATCTGCAAGGCAGAGAATGGTACTGCATTGCATGGAAGGATACCAATACACTCGTTTCAACATTGCATGTATCTCTAGTGGCTCCACCAAAAGTATACTGTGAGTGGAGGTGTGTCTTGAGCATAACATTAGAATACTACTCGCACACAGGAAATAAAGGACCCTATTTGATTTTTTATTTCACCTTTGCTTTTAGCTTACACAAGAACAGAAGCCCCATGAAAAGTGGGCATATGGTTGTGGTTCCAGGCAGTATCAGGGAATCATGAGCTGCTTTCAAGGGAGCACAATGGATTACTTACTGCTGAGTGCCCTTTGCCTATTATTTTATTTTATTTCACATGAAGGGGGAAAGGGCAGGTACTGCAGCGCTTAAGAAAGACTTCATATGCCATAGAAATATAGTGACTGGCCGGGGTGGAAGGAAAGGAGATCAGGACTGTGCTATGTAGGTGGCCATAATATCTGATTACCTCATCTTCCCAAATGAAATGAGTGGGGAGATAACAGCTTGGTGTGTGTCAACTGTGCTGGTTTATACTCTTGTGCTCCTCATATGTCTTATCAAGTAATTTTATTTTTTCCAAGTTAGTGACTGAAGATTTTGATTTAGCTTGATGAATTGTACCCATCAAAACTATGGCAAATATGCTGGCAATGCATTTTGAGGCAAGGCGGCCCTTATTAACTGCTTTTGTTTTGAAATAATTCTGATTATAAGGTTCAGCTGGTCCTGCACTTAGCTCATATTTGCATTTTTGTGGTAGGAACTGATTACCAAATCCAATAAAGACACATGGACCTCTGCTTATA